ATATAAAGCTTGTATATTGTTAGTTTTGTTTTTATTGGTAATTTACTGCGTAGAATGGGGCGCAAGAGCGCCCGAGTGGAGTTTGTGCGAGATACCACTGTTTGAACGTGGGCGCGCATGGTTAAGCGAGCGTCGATTGTAATACCTAAGTATTTAACCGATGTGAGCCATGGGATAGGTATTCCTTTGATTGTGAGTGGCGGTGGTTGTTTTAGGTGGCGGCCTATGGTCATGGCTTGAGTTTTGTCTATATTTATAGCCATCCTCCATTTATTTAACCATACGGTGAGCGCATCTAAAGTTGGCTGCAATTTACTCACTGCGTGTTTCGGGCGGATTGAGGCGGTGTAATAGGCTGTATCATCCGCATAAAGGGCGAGCTTTACGTCGCCTACCATAGGGATGTCGTCTGTGAAAGCTGCGTATAGCGCCGGTGACAAGCAGCTGCCTTGTGGGACGCCGGCGCGTACTGGGTGTTCCGATGATAGGTGGCCTTCCACGGTTACGCAGAAGGCTCTATTTTTCAGAAATGAAGCGACTGTTTTTAATAGGCGCAGTGGTGTGGCGGACGTCGACAGTTTGAATAGCAGGCCCTCATGCCATACCCTGTCGAATGCCTTCTCCATATCGAGGAGCACGATGACTGAGTGCTCCTTCTTGTTTTGGTTGGTCGCTAGGTCGTGCAAAACTCTGGCCAGCTGCAGCGTCGTTGAGTGTCCCTGCCGGAATCCGAACTGTTCGGTGCGAGGTGTTATGTGCGGGGACAGGTGGCTTAATATTAATTTTTCAAGTACCTTTGATAAGGTTGGGAGCAGCGTTATCGGTCTGTAGCTTGCTGGTAGCGGATTTTTCCCCTGTTTGTGTAGCATGATAACTTTTCCGCGTCTCCATTCAGCCGGAAAATGGCAGGTACGGAGTGCGCCGTTGAAAATTCGGGTGACGGCAGCGACAGTCTTAAATGGCAGGTGGCGGAGTGCAGCGTTCGTGATATTGTCCAGGCCCGGGGCCTTCCGCGGTTTACACCTGGAAATCACCCTCCGGACCTGGCTGGGCGAGAACACCACGGGGTCATCTTCTGCGACGGGTTGGTGTGACAGGCAACTATTCACGTGCTGCTCTATGGCCGACACGTGCTCGCTGTCTGTCGTCGGATTCGGGCAGAACTTTTGAGCTAAGTGCTCGGCGAACAATTCGGCTCGGTCAGCGGCCTGGTACCTGGGTGTGTTGGTGTGGTCTAGGAGTGGTCTCACCGGAGTCTTTTGCGTAGTTAGTTGCCTGCAGAGGCGATAGGCAGAGGGCATGTCATCGCCCACTGCAAGCAAGTGATTTTCCCATGCGGAGACGGCGCGTGTTTCCATTTCCCTCTTTATTTTGGCAGTGATGTGGTTGAGATGAGTCTTTGTGGTGGGGCAGCGGGTGCGCTGCCATAGGCGTCTGAGGCGGCGCTTTTCCTCTATTAGGTTCCTAATTCTGACCGGTATTTCAAATTGTTTATTACCTTGAGAGCGTGTGTGGGTAGCTGTTTCGAGCGCCGACTGCAGTGCCGCAGTCAATTCGGTGACTGCATCGTCGACGTCGTTGGCGGTGTTAATAGGTCGCGTCGGTGTGTGCTCTGTCAATTTTTGTTCGAAAGCTTCCCAGTCTATTAGTCGGCGGGTGGGGGGGGGGGGGGGAAATATTAAATTTGGTGGGTATCCTTACAATTGTGAGCAGTACTGGGCGGTGATCGGATGGGAGGTCCATTAAAACTTCCTGTGTGATGGTATCGTCGACGCCTCTGCATACCACCACGTCAAGGATGTCCCCGTTCCCGTCCGAGTCATACCTGGTGGGTTCGTCCGGGCCGAATACTGCATAATCATGTGTGGTTGCATCGTTATGCAGTGCTCTTCCTGCGTAATTGATTACGTTTGCGTTCCAGTTGGTGTGCTTGGCGTTAAGATCTCCGGCCATTATCGTTGGTAGTGGGTGTAAGTGGTCCCGGAGTTCCTTAACGTCTAGGGTTACCTTAGGAGGTCTATACACGGCGTAGAATCGGGTGGTTATGCCTTCTAGCTCAATGTCTATACCGAGTGCATAAAACGATTTGGGCTGCGTTATCGGGGCCGGCTGGTGTACTATCCGTTTGTGGACTAGGATTAGGAGTCCTCTAAAGGTTCGCCCTTCTGGCGTCTCTTCATCCTGCCTGTACGCAAAATAATTCCGTACACTAAAGGCAGCGCCCGGTTTGAGAAAGGTTTCGCTCACAAGTGCGATATCTACGTCGCGCTCGCGCAAAAGATGCGCGAGCATGCGTCGTTTCCCTGTGAGCGACTGCGCATTCCAGTGTACTACCCTTAGTGGCCGGAATTTTGAGCCGTAATCTGTTGAAAGCATTGTGAGAATTGCTCTGCCATTTTATTGGCGAGCAATTGTATCCAGTCCGGGGTACCTGTTGTTGTGGTCCCTTGTGGTATTGAGGTGGGGGCGTGTTCCCCGGTAGACGCCATTTTGGGTGCGGCATCTGAGTGGGCGGTGCCTTTTCCTCTCTTTTTTTTTTGCGGCGGGTAGATTTTTTTTCTATTTGTGTGAGTTGTTTTTTATTTCCCGCGTTCGCCGGGGCCATCAGTGTTGAGGGAGCGCTTTCACTTACCTCATTCTGAGGAATGGCTGCTCTGGTGATCGGCCCTGTGGATGGGCCTGTCTTGGCCACGGTGCTAGCCTTTTTGTTCCTTGTTTCCTTTTTTAAGGCCGGACAGGAAGAGTGGTTAGCCTGGTGGGGGCCACCGCAATTTGCGCAGGTGGCAGGTTCGGTGCGGGGGCGGGGGCAGTCGGCGGCGGCGTGGGGCTCACCACAACGGACGCAGGCCAAGGGCCGGTGGCATCCTTTCAAGGAGTGCCGAAAGCCCTGGCACCTGTGGCACTGCGCCGGTCCTCTTTTGCCTCGCCACGCCTCTATTGTTACGCCTGGCATGCTGAGCAATTCTTTAATATTAAAAATATTATGTACTTCACCTGTCGTTTTCTATAGTGAAGCGTAAAATATACATCCGGGGCGTCCCGCTCGTGCCCGGATGCGTTTTGCGTATTATACTGCGTATCCCTTTTCGGCTAGTGCTTCCTGAATTTGGGTTGCCTCTGTGTGGAAGGGTAGCCCTCTTATAGGTACCTTTAGATTTCGCTCCTCCGGGAGGGCGTATGAGTACCAACTCACACCGGCTTGTTCCTTGTCTAGATTAGACAGGTACGCCTGTATGAGTCGATACTCATCGCCGTCCGCGGGGGAGAAACGTACCCCCGTCCCGAACGGTCTGGCGTTAGGCGGGTGTCCCAGCCGTTGATGCAAGGTCTTAAAGTGGTACGACCAGTCCGGTAGCTTTTCGACCACTATAGGAGGGTACCTTTTTTCCTTGGCTGCTGTTGGTGCGTTTTGTTGTGCGGCGTGGGCGGGTTGTGTCCCGCTGGCTTGTGGTGGGTGAGTATCCATCCTGGTGGGCGGCGCCTTGGAGCTTTTAGAAGCTTCCGAAGGGGGCGGGGCAGTGGGCTGGGTAACTGCCTGAGAATATGACGTATGAGGGTAGTTTAGTAAAAAACTTACTGGTTCTCCGCTCGGTATAGCCCTGTTGTCATACCCTTTTGTGTCTTTGGTTATGACACGACGTCGCGGATGCTCGCGTTGTGCGAGTGGTGCGGGTGTCTGCATGTCAGTAGGCTGCGTCTGTGTTTCCGTCGACTGTGTTGACGGTGGCGTCGATTTTGGGGTTGGTTTATCGCCGCTGCTATGTGATCGGCGAACGCGCGGGTCGCGCGGATGAGGCTGGATTGGCGTTGCGCAAACTCGTTTTTCCTCCCTCGATGTTGACGGAGGGTCGCGCTTGCGTTTGCCGCTCGGGGTAGGTGGCTGGGCGAAGGGTAAATCTAACCTCAAGTCGTCGTTGGCGTGCAGGGCTCGTCTCGCCATTTCGTCGGCTTCGGTTAGTATGGGTGTGTCTCCCAGTTCATACTCCATCAGGCGCACGTATACGCCCATCCAGCGGGCCAGGCCGTCCGACAAGCAGCCGGATTTAGCTAGCCTAGCCACAACCACAGCGTCAGATTCATATCTGACGCGTGGTGATTGTGACTGAGCCGCTCGGCGCACCCATCCAGATAGTGCGTTCCTGTCTGGTGGAGTATGAACCGTGCGAGGAGTTGGAGTAGGTGGGGCAGGAGTGACGAACACTTCTGTCTGCTCATCATTGTTGTGTGGTGTTGTGTTGCTAGGTTCCAGCGTCGGGACCGGCCGCGAAGGCGGCGGGTCCGCCATGCTGGCGACGGGTGTTATTCGTCTGCGCGATCCAGGTCTGGTCGCGCCTCATACGCGCGCGCCTGACCGGCGGCTCAGGGGGTATGGTATCCACGCTAGCGAGCGTTGCTAGGCAGTGCTCACGAGATGCTAAAAAACAGTTTTAGATTCGGAGAACTTGTTGTTTGTATAGGATCCGTGCGCATCCGACGAAGTGCGATCCAACTGACTCTGCGCGGCGCCAATCGCGCTTATATACGCCGATCGACGCATTCTAGAAAGTACCTGTTAAATTGAGAATTACCTAGCACCCGCGAGTACGAAATACCTATTTATAGCTACGCAGGTAACACGCATAACTTGTAAACAAGTGCAGATGTCGTTGCACTTTCTCGCTTACGCCGCACTGCATAAGGCTCATTACAGAATGAGCCGCATTACTCGACCTCTATTGCGACCCCCGGTGATCTGGCAAATTCGATCTCTGGCACTTTCGCGGTTACGTTTCGAGAGCGTTTGTGACAATACGCTATTCCGGTCAAGAGGACGTGAGAATTTTATTGTAGTATTGACTACCTCACAGAAGCTTATCGAAAAAGCCAGCTCGATACATTTCGTGTCAAACACTTCAAAAAACATTAGAATGCGTCACACCGACATTCTCATGTAAAAAGAAAATCAGAATATTATAACTTAAGACTAGGCTGTATGGGCATTGTTCCTTTTGCCTTCCCTGAAAAGGGAGAATTTAACAAAAAAAATTACCGAAATGGAGAAATTCTCGGCCGTAAAACTTAAAAAAAAGCGAATAAATACGAGGATAGTTTCATATTTCTTTAATTTTATTTAATTTAGGCTTTGTAGGTTATTGGAATAAAAATGCTCAATACTTTTCGGGGCACGTTAGTGACTAGTGTACAATGTCAGCAAATAAGGCTTGGCCACCGAATCAGAGGAAAAGCCCCTATTTATTGTCGCACTATTAAAGAGCGTTTAGACGAATTGAATTATAAAGATGAAATTTGCAGAACTAAAATAGATATAGGTCTTCCTATTCATCCGTAAGTATTGTATTACAATCGGTATCTGTTTACACTACTTTTGAAAAAAATACTCTCACTAAAAACTAACCTTATTAAAATTGCTTCATTTTTTTTTGATGAAAGGTACTGTGAATCTCTAATTACAGATCATTACATTGATTACAATCATCAAAAGGTTTTCTTCTTTAATCTAAACTGTAAAAGTTCTTTTCGCATTAAGCTGAGTATGAAATTTTTAATTTATCAAAATTAGTACGCATTTTTATGAATGCATCACAAATCTTTAAACATGTCCTATATTTAAAATATTTGAAAATCTTTATTATCATGTGTCTCATCCTGATCTTTAGTTAGTTTTATTATAATGAAACATTTTAAACTGTGTTTGTTCTACAGGACTTCATCATCAAAATTAAGGAATGAGCGACTGGAGCATGTAAAAAAGGTAAAAAGTGACAAAACTGTAGAAAAACTTGCACGTGACCATAAATTGCAGGTTGACATGGGTGCAGTCAGAAAAGAATGGTTGAAAACATTAGGGCCTTACCACAAAAAAAATATTGCTGATCACTATGGTATATTTGAACATTTGTATGGAGAGGGATATTTCATTCCAATTGTGAATATGGACATATGTTATGATATAAATGATGAATTATCATTGCCTGTGTATACTGGTAATGTGATCAAACCTCAAGAGGCTTTACAGAGGCCATCTATCATCTTTGAGTCTGATAAGGATGCATTATGGACCCTCGTGATGACAAGTCTTGATGGACATTTAACAGCCAGTGATAACGAATATGTGCATTGGTTTATGGCAAACATCCCTGGTGATCATGTCGAAAAGGGAGACACGTTAGTGGAATATTTACAGCCTTTCCCATTAAAAGGAACTGGGTTTCATAGATATGTTTTTGTTCTCTATAAACAAAATGGCAAAGTATCTTATGACATACCCAAAGGTTTGTTGATTCATTCTGAACTTTATCTAATCCATTAATTTTTACTAGATTTCACTTTGAAAAATATTAAGATTTGTTTCTGCTTTGAAAATTTTAGTGACATCTGCAGCACTTGAGAATAGGACTTTTGTGACCAGAGATTGGTATAAGAAGAATCAGGATGCAATCACTCCTGTTGGTCTGGCATTCTTCCAGAGTGATTGGGATGAAACTGTAAGAGAGTTCTTCCACAAAACCTTGAATACCAAGGAACCTAGTAAGTTGACTAAAGATCATTAGTAAAGATTTGCTGTCATTCTTAATATTTTCTTTTCATCATCATCATGATATATGATATATCAGGATGATAATCCTATAGTGTCCTCATTGCTGGGTACAGGGATATTGGGCCATGACCCACCATGTGGGCCCTGTGCGGACGTGTGGTTGCTTATATCCGCAGATGTTACCAGAACCAATGACCTTCTGAATCATAGTAGAGATCAAGACAATAAGTTTTTGTTCACCCATCCAATGACTGGCTATTGCAAAAGTTGTTAACTTCCATAATCATAGACCAAATGTGCTAACCACGTGCACCATGTTTTTTCATTAAGTTCTTTTGATAGAAAACCAGTGTCAGTACAAACTGACACAATGCTGAACTGGAATAAATTAATAAAAATTGTATCTGAAATAATGTTGATTGTGTTTTACAGTTTATGAATACGATTTCCCGGCTCCATACATAAGACCTCAAGAATTTTATCCACGCAGAAAACCATTCAACCTTTATATGGATAAGTACAGAGATCCAAAACAAATTAACAAAGAGTATCTTATTCGGAAGCTGAAGAATGAAGATCCCTTCAAGAAGCCTGCTCCACCACTCAAATTTCCTAATGCTCATGCATTTCCAAAGGGCATGCCATCATGGTTGAAACTTCATGAGAGAAAGATAAGGCTAGGATGGGGACGGGTCAATGATGTCTAAGAATATGTAATGTGTATAATAAACTTAGTTGATTCTTAATTCCTTATTTCCTTTCCAGTTAAAAAAAATCATTAGTAAATAATCTTATTTTGATCACAGACTGCAAAGTAGTCCCTGATAATAAGATTAAACAATACTATGTTCACGGAAGTGGTCACAAGAGAAAGACGGCTTTGAGGCCACACGAGCGTGGTCTGTGCGTTGTGGCGTTCTACATATAAATCTAAACGACATGCGACACGATGCGTTGAAATGACGGTCGGCGACGCAACGCACAAGTAGAGAAGGGATCTGCGTTGAAACGACAGAGCGGCGGCGCAATATTTAAGAGAGGAGGCGGGCAATGTTTGCTTCATACAAACGTTCTTGACTGATTCCTCCTTGATTTTTAACATTGAATGATTTTCATGCACAAAATATAATTTTACTCTTTATATGCTCCTATGTATTCCTTTTTTCGATAACTTGTGTTTCAAAGAAACTAAAAGCCCTCAAAAATGAACTATTTTTTATCACCTACCTTTGAACCGCTTTAGTGCTACTAGTGTGGAGATTCAATAAGCTTTTACAAAAAAAGGAAAACATAAAGGCCTGGTATAACTATTTATAAGGCGCTTTGCAGACGGCGGGGCGGAGCGGGCCGGTTAATTTCGCCGCGAACGATAGCACAAAGGGAATCCTATACTACAAACGCACACAGAGGGCAAAAAAACCGCGCCGCAGGTGCCCGGCGGGCACTGGCGGCGCGGCATGTCCGCGGCTGCCCGCCCTGGATCAAACAAACCAGTTTATATGCAGTAACGCAGACGGCGGCGCGGGGCGGCTAGCTCGGTCCGCGCCACGCGCTTTTTAGTGATGGACTATTCACTAGAATGAACGTCCTGAACTGACTGCCTCTGCCCGTCGTGTGCTTTGTGTACGCGGCGAGGGCAGCCGCAGACATCGACGGGCAGACGCGGTTTTAATTGCTTCGCGGACAAAAGCCCGCCCCGCCCCGTCGTCTGCAAAGCACCTTATTCTATGGGTAAGATTCCTTTTACGCATAACTAATTTTTGAGGACGAAATCGTGGAGAGCCGAACCTCGAATTTACGCAATTTTCTGCTTTAGCTGCTATTGTTCCTATCGCACGGTATTTGCCAATGAGCGAAAGCAATAGTTTTTTCAAATACCTATTTCTCAAACGTCTCAGCTCGCGTCCGCTCTTAAAGCATATCAAAGGCGCAGACAGAGCACTCGTGTGGCATACACTGAGTTGAAATCATTGCGTTGCGACGACGCAGCATCGCAACGCCCATGTGGCACCTAACGCTTCAATTTATCATAAAGGGGCCGTCCATTAATCCCCAGATGTTTTTTTTTGGGCATTTTGAAACCCCCCTTCCCCCTTGGTGATACATGGTGATGATGGAAAGACTACCCCCCATCCCATATCACGTGTTTTAGTACCTACAAAGATTTTATTTTAATGCTAGTGGCCCGCCCTCGCTTCGCTTCGGTGCGGAGCTGTAGTGTAAACTATAGTTTTTGTTCTCAGGCTTGTGCTACAAACAATGACTTTATTTATATAATTACACGTGTTATTGTGAGTCATATGCTGTTGCGGGATATTTTTTAGACAATTTTATGTAGAATATTTTCGTCATATATGATTTCCATGTAACTTTAACCATTAATGCTGCACACGCGACGGAAGCTTAAAAAATGGAGTGACTTCTCCCGTTTTCCCTCAAACATTTGCCCTACGGGATTCGAACCCAGGACTTTTCTGCAGGTGACATTTTGGAAACCGGTGTAAACATACCCACCGACTGTCACCACGAAGGTCGTCAAATTACAAGGCAATATTACCGAGATATTGTATGCAAGTTCCAATAATAATACCAACCACGGAACCTTAGGTTTTCTGTCATTGACCATTTTGTATCATTGTTCGGTCATCAATAGCCCCCCTTTCTCGTGTGACGCAATTGAAAATCCTTCTTTTGTAAGTTTGCACTCACTAGGATTCACCGCCTCCCTCTGCGAATTTTATTTTTGTAAAAAGACGTTCTTTTCTCTCAAGGCACCACATATCTATAACTGCCTGCGTAAAAAAAACATCTAAGCGGTTATAGGGTAATAGTTCCTTTCGAATATTAATAGTTTGGATAAATGAAATATCGAAATAACTTATAGAATTTTATTAACCATTTTTACATAGAAAAATAACTAGAATGATCAGACGAAATCATGTAATTACATGTACCAGACACCATTAACATAGTAAAAAAAATAGGAGTTTGTATTTAGACAGAATACCTACCTACATATCAGCAGACATCACGGATCAAAGTAGACTAGACAATAGTTAGCTTATGTTGAAAATATCTACATACTTATTTCAGGAAACTTAACAAAACAGTGTTGTGATTCTTGGGAATAAACTTTTTTCTAGTTGAAAATTGTTTATTAGGTGTATTTGGTGCACATAATTTCGTCTAATTTTTTTATCAATATACTTATGTAAGCTTGAATTCTAAGTTGAGCTGATGATTAACTTTCATTTTATTGCTAGCACCTTTATTATTTAATGAAACAAGGTGTGTGTAAGATAGCCATTTCAAGTGGAATATAGTGGCCTAATTTAAATATAAAATTATAATCAAGCAGGTAAAATTGCTAATCATTAATTTAACTTTAAACTCATATTTTTTTTTTAATTAAATGGAGCTCATAATTTGATCCGTTATAAAAAACACTGCTAATTGCAAAGTACTTTTTAAGAATTTAGTTTAGGTGTGTTATTGTAAAAACTGCAAATAGTAATAAAATTCTGCAATAAAACCACTATTCAAAAATTCTCCGTGATATTGATAAAATTATCAAATCTTTCAAATAACATCACGGCCTGCAGTCTTCATCTTCTAGTTGTTGAAACTAACTTGCGGTCAATGAGCAAAAGAATACATGCTAAATGTTGACCAATACAAACAACTAAGAACTCCGAACACTAATCACACAATTTTTAAAGTTTCATTCTGATATGGGTGAGAACTTTGTTAAATGATTTCGATATGAAAAATGGTAGGGTGCCTTTTATGAAAATTTCTCACACTAAAGAGGGCTATTGACTAAGCCTAACATACATATATATAAAACTTAAGTAAAACATTAACATTACATTATTATTTTACCAATTAATTTTGGACTCTTCCAAGTGTAAATGTAATATTTAATAAAATAGATAAAACTTAAGGCTTTAATGATAAATGCACTTTATTTTATATGTTATGCCCTTCAATGACACCCAACATTGAATTACAAATGTTAGTTTTAAGTATGATAAGATAAATCAAATAATATTAACTGTCATAATTTTATGGCATAAATCTAAGAGTGTTAAAGTTCTTTCTTATTACGTCTTCACGGTGGTTGTGCTGCTTTTAAATGTTTAATATAAGCAGTTACAAATTAAAAAAAATGTTGATAATTTTGCCTACCTACCTATATAAAGAAGCCTGATAAAAGTCTTTGGTTCTTTTATAAGTCTGATTGCTTCCCCCCTATATGACTACAGTAATGGTGACGATTCTGGAATTATTTTCTTAATTTTAAAACTAAAGATCAGTATCTAATTTAAATTTACAATACAATACAAAAACTCTTTATTAACCTATATTATCCCAGGGGGTCGCTAGCGACCCAAATTCTGTAACTACCTTATTTTATTTTTTTATTTTAATGTACTACAATAATTTATACCAAATGCATTTTCTCGGCTAGTTGCAAGTGTGAAGTATGTTTATAAGTAAAATTAAAATGATTATAGTGATAAATTAGACTTCTACAACTCCAAAACTTTTTGATTTGGGATAAGTGTGAAATTTCTGTGCCCGGAGTTACGAAAAATGTAAGTATCACTTTTGTCACTTATGTTGATAGAAATTTGAAATATTGATATCATAATTAGATAACTAATGTATAGAAATGTACTATTTATAATAAGTATTTTTGTTTTTTATACCATAAAAGAGATCGGTAAAAATATTTGGGTCGCAAACGACCCAGTGGGATAATCCCTGACCTTTTGTTTCCTTTTATAGGTCATCGCGTGGCTATTCTGCGTGTGAAATTTTGGAAGTTTTGGAGACTTTAGTGGAGGAAGACGATGTTGGTCAGGTAGACGTATACTTGGACCATCCTGGAGATGGCCAGCAGTCCGAAGGTGACTCGGGAGACGAAGACTGTTCGGATATAAATAGACTTTCTCGTGCGCAGCTCCAATCTAATGCACAGCTAAATCGATCTGAATCTCCTGAAAATGAGAACGTGATTGAGCCTGAAGTAGTGCAGCCTGGACCCAGTAGAATTGGAAAGTCGAAATCTTCGAAGAAGCCTACAAGACCGGTTCGAAAATGGATACGCAAGGTTATGATACCGACGAGTGAATCATGGAAACAGCCTTTACCCCGTGCAGTTTTATCCCTTGGACATGAGTGTGAAGCAATACAATTCTTCCAACTATTTTTTGGTTTTGACGTAGTCGAAAATTTTGGTGAAGAAAACGATTATTTATGCCGTGCAATAAATAATCCCAAACTCTTCTTTCCAGCAAATATGACGTGGAGCCTTTGAAATCAGCTACGCGTTATTCAGCAGCTGCAAAATCAAGAGTTACTGTACCACAGCCAGATATAATAGCTCAGTACAACCGCGATATGGGTGGTATAGATCGCCTGGACTCCAATGTTGGAGCCTATCGTATAAGTATACGCGGTAAAATGTGGTATGGCTTTTGGATGTAGCAGTCAACAATGCTACGCTTTTAGCTAAGTCCATGGGATCACTCCTATCAACATTAGAATTTCGAAGATCCTTAGCTACCGCTTTACTCCTGACATATGGATCTCCTCGCGATGCTCCAGGACCTTCAATCACGAGCAGGCGGTCCATACCCATGAGTTTTCGAATGCATAATGCTGAACATATTCTTTTATGTAAGCAAAGAAGGCTTAGATATGTTGTATGTAAAAATAAAACAAACAAAATCTGTAAGAAATGCGGAGTCAATCTTCATGATAAGTGTTTCGAACAGTTTCATTCGTAATTTTCTTTTTTATTAGTACTTTTGGTGTCATAATATATATTTTTATTAATTTACAAATTAGTCTCATTATGTACATTTTTGGACATATATTATCCCATTGGGTCATTAGCGACCCACTTAAAAACAACCCTTTTTCCATATTTTTTTCCAATTATAATATTTTTGCCTTTTATTTCAACCAATTATGAGCAACATATGTAAAAATTAAAAATTTTGGTGATCAAAATAGTTACGGGCATATATGGGTTAAACACCACGAAAAACATTGAACATTCAGCATAAAAATATTTAGTACAGGTGATGCAATAGGCGGCCTTATCGCTTAAAGCGATCTCTTCCAGGCAAACTTTGGATGGAGAGGATTAGAAGGAAGTGGGAGAGACGGCGGTGTAAATCGCTAGTATAATATAATCTATTAGTAAATACATATCATACACATATACATATATAAGATATATATACATACATACATAGATACAATAAGTATAAATACATACATAATATATGTAAATATAAAGTATATTTACATTGAGAATGACAAATAAAGACTGTTGTCTAATTTATGTTAAGGTTTAGATAATCATGCCAGAATCGAACCCATTATGACAAAATGTAAAATAAAAAAAAACTTATTTGAAAAGAAGTCGCACTTTCATAAAAAAAACCTAACAGATACGAAAGGTTAGTGAAGTGTATCCAAAAACATTCTTTACTGCAATTAAGAATTATAGAGGGAATCTCTCTCTTCATGTATCCTAACACATGCAGCTTTAACACTCTGTTCTAGGATAATCGAATTAGTTCAAAAATTCAATTAAAAATGTATTTGGGTGGTATTTAATCAAGTCCAACATCGTCATCGGTGGGTGGCTTGTTTGGGCCTGATCCAGGTGCAGGACCTCCAAAACCTATAAACAACAATAGACAATCAGATGGATACTAATAAATAAATACCTATTTCTAACACACGTCATTAGGGAATCCAGCAAGCCCAAAATAAAACCAAAACAGTATTTTGACAAGTTTAAAAAAAATCTCACATTATTTACTAATGTTTATGGAGTCCATATAAAGTGGATATACTTATTCATCATTCTGTATTTCAGTAAAAAAACTGAATCAAAATTTCCATTTTCAAGTTGCCACGGAAACGATTCCTTGGACATTATAGCGTCATACGACTGCCATTAAACGTCAGACGTTAAGAGCCCTTTCACATTTTTTGCAATAAATCGCAATTTTTGAGCGCCTCGTTTGCCCCCTTAGAAGAGATTTTGACTACTTCCAATAGAAGTAAACAGTAGATTTATTCTTCCTATTGAAAATTAATGTAGAATATTTTCAAATACTAATTCCATTTTTTTGTACTGATCGTTCACCGCAGCTAGTTTACGGAAAAACGATAATATGCACAACTTAAAACGCCTTAATCTCACAATAATGTTCAATAAATTAGATCAAATTAATTACAACGACACCAGAAATATGTTTTTGTTGCAACATAATGTATCAGAATCTTGATTTTTCATCTCATTAATTATTAAAAAAACATCTAACCTCCGTGAGTTTCCCCAAAAAATAACGCAGGTTTACCTCGTATTTTGATATTAAATTAAATAGAATTACTATCAAAAACTGTCATAAAACTTATCTACAATCATTGAACTACTGAAAAATGTATACAATTTTATAATAATTTCATTAAGTAATTATTATTTTTTAAGACTGAACATCACCCGTAAAATGCAATATATAGTGGTGCAAATCTAGACGCCGCGGCGCCGTTCAGTACGGCGCCAGCGCCTTTGGAGGTCGGACCTGTGTCACTTTGTACCGCACGCGTTCCGGGCGATGCTACGAGTGCATTCATCGTAAAAGTGGCTGGATATACTACGACCGCAAAAGTTTAATCGTTGACTGTATGTAAGTTGCCACAACCGTATTAAATTTTATTATTATAAGTACCTACCTAGTTATTAATTATCGTTGCTTCAACTAATATTTTTGTTATAAGCTTTTACAATGGGGCGTAAAATTCCTGCTTACCATTGTGTCAAAAAAAGAAAACGAAAGAATGATGCAGGCATAAAGAAAGCTTGTGAAGCAAGGTGAATATGCTTATAACATTTCGTTTTTTATTTTTGTGGTTTCAATGGGTGTTTTAATTGTATAAAAATGGTGATTTGTCCGGACTTTTCAAGTATCATTGGTATAAAATTGTAATCAGTCAAGGTACTGTACTCGAATGGCCAACGATTTTAACTTACTGACTTAATGGGAATGTCAATCTATCCTTATGTCTATAAAAAAAGCTAGAGTGCGGTAAAATTTTGCATTTTCATCAAGTATAACAAGTATAAGCTCGTGGGCCGCCAAAGTACATATTGGCCCAATATAATAATATATTTAGAATAGAAATCCACAGTTCTATATATTTTAGATGGAAACAAAATTTTAATGGCAACCCCGAAAATATTGAAACTATACCGGCCATAAGTTCAATGGATTCGATTGCAACGGAAACTGTAAGTTTTTCATGTTGTTATTGGAAGTAGACAATGAAAAGAGAAATTGAAATTATATTAATAAATTTAATTATATAGGAAAAAAATGCTGTTGGATTGGAAATCGAAGCCGAGGAACAAAGGGAAGCGTCAAACTCTAATTTAAATATTTTATTTGTTTTATACTGACTTAATGGGTATTTCACTACTACAGTAGGTACATGGTTTATAATGTTAGCAGTTTGGTTTTTTATTTTAAACTTAAACTAATGGGATGCATTTCTAGAGCAAAAAAGTTTATTTTTAATAGTTTATATTTAGACTTCTTTGCTCCATAAGTTCAATTGACAGTAACTTGCTGATTTACGTACCATATCTGTGTCTGGATTGGAAATGTATTTCCAGTATTGCCTATATCTGTTTATATGCGTAGATAGTCGATAAAAGCAGTATTGTAGTCAATTAGATAATCTGTTTTCAGGAGGAGTATATGGCTGATGGAGGACGTGTAATGATACCAGGACATTTTGCACTTGAAAACACCAAACTGGGTGTTGGACCGTCAAATGTCAACATATCAATATCACCTCAGCTGAAATAAGAACTTATAGAATTGACAATGAGCGAGGAAATTTCAGATGTTGTTATTATAAGTATTTTGTTTATTATCGTCATACTTTTATTAAAATTAAATGTATTGTGGCCCTTTGTCACCGTAATAATCCACAAAGAATAATATATTATTATAGATAACTATAATATAACCTTCATTGTAATTTACGAAAAACAAAACATCAATCATCAGTTTCAAAAAGAGACAATCATTGTACGTGATACGTTATACTACCAGACTGATTCCGGTTATGATAGCATCAGTGATGATAATCTTTGATAACACTGATGAGTAATTAATTGTATAGAGAATAGCAGATTTTATTGAATGTGCTTTACAGCAGCTAGTGATGGAGGAGGTGTGAACTTTCCCAGCTCCGTTTTCATATTATTTATCCTGAAATTACCATACGAGAACTCGCAGCAAAAATTTCATGAGTTAGGTGTGTAAGAGATGAGTTCCTATGAAAGTTAAATGCTTTTGATGGGTTTTGTTTAAATGAATGGAAATTACACAAATACAAAAAAACATGCTTTTTATTTTTTTATCAAATACTCTTACAGATATGGGTGATTCTCAGTTAAGAGGTAATCGGTTGTATGGAAGCAGTGGTACAGCAAAAAGTGTCGATATTTATATAATTATACCACTACTTTTATCAAGACAGATGATTTTAATATGATTTTAAGATGATCAGTCATTTTTTTAATTTCTTCTCGTTTTACGAGACACCAGGGGAGATACTGAGTACAGGATAGAGACAAGATGAACTTTATTGCAATACGCTTAGAGCGCATATTAGGATGTAAAGTACTTATCCGTGCAATCAGATTTTAGTGGAATAACGATATAAAGCTAAACAATTATCTAAAATTATATGCAATTGTACATTCTCTAATAAATTATCATTACTGTTATTGAGCTATTGCATCGTTTTTATAGTTTTGTTAGTAGCCTGGCACCATAACAGCCAGGGGAAATATGGCAGGGGAGAGACATTTTCGTTAAACATCTAAAATTGCCGTAAAACTATTAATTTTACAAAGATTATAATAAATAAAAGGTTTGCAGCACTATTTAAAATAAATGTATATAGATATTGTAGTATTTAAACACATAAATACGAAAAAAAATTACCAGGGTAAATACTTCGATCACTCAACACGGCTGCACTCATCGAGCACCGTTGCGCAAATGGCCATAAAAATTGCCGCGTGGATGGCTTGTGCAGCGCTTGCTGCTAACTTCACGTGACACTCGGTGTCTTTAAGGTCAAAACTACCACAGACTAAACATAAGGCCAGGGGGCGAGACACGAAACTCGGAGGACACAGTTTGCGATTAATATTTTTTATAAAAAGTGCAAATATAAATGAATTTAATGGTTACACATTTAATACTGTAACTAAGTTATCAGGGTTCATGTTATTACCGATAGAAAAGTAATAATTAAATTTCAATGGACTAGAAATTACTGATTTACAAAAAAAAAACGGTTAGGGGACAACCCAGGGGAGAGAAGTTTTTCCTCTTTGTGCTGTTATTGTAAGTAAATTATGCACATTTAGAATATAATTTTAAGTGACAATTTAGAACACATTTAGTCAATTGAAATTATTAAGATTTTAGACCATCATTTCCAAATATACTGATTTTTTTGGCTTGGCCGTCAAACATACCTCTTAACTGAGAATCACCCATATATTGAAAATACAGAGTGCGAAAACTTTTTTATTAAATGAACTACGAAGGCAAAGACAAATCTACACTTAGTACAGTTTTACTGAGATATTTGATTATTACCAAACATCAATCATCATTAAAAAAGTCAATACTAAAAATACAAGTAAATAAAATATTATTTCTCATTGCCACTCGAAAAAGGGATTTCATTCAGCGATAACAGTGAACAAACTTTTCATTGAATTACTGAGTGAATAAAAAAAATTTGAACAAACAGAAGTTATGCAAATCATACATATAAAGTTACAATAATTAGTAATAATCATAATTAATCTTTATTGTCAGTTCCAAAACGCAACCAATGGGTACTATAAATATATTATTTATTTTCTCACAATCCTTGTATCCTTTGCTCCACTCAGGATTCCTATCTAGAATCGTTCGTTGCTACAGTAGGGATCCATCTTAGCACTTCAAATTAACTTTATTTTATATTTGTATTTATTGTATAATCAATAATTGCATATTAAAGTATCAATTTGGTAAAGCGCGCTATACTGAACTTCGCCGCATCGATGTCTCGCTCGTGCGACTCGGACACGCTCGCGGTCATATTTACCTAAACTAGAGCGGCGCAATTTTGTAAAAGGGCTCTTAAAATTTAATGTCACTTTGACCGGAAGTTCACAAGCGTGTAACATCATTTTAGTCTTCGCCAATCCCAGGCGTTTTCGGTCCCGTGACCATGGAACAAATACGTTTATTTTATTTTTAGAAACGTTAATAATTATTTGCTCAGCATAGAAAAATCGAATAGTAAACCATATCAAATACAGATTCCAACAATATTGGTACTTTTATAGCCCCAAAGTAAGCACTTGGCTAGAATGCATATAGGTATTGATACATAGATAAAATATATTTATCTGGAATTCGAGAAATACATATAAACATCCATGACTTGGTACAAATGCTCGTATTCATCATACAAACATCTGCCACCAGGATTCGAACCCGCGACCTCAGAGTAGGCGATACCTTGAAACCCGTACACGTACATACAACTCAGACCACGGAGACAGTAATGATTCATACTGTCTTTGTACTACTAATGTCATAGAGAAAATTGAAATTAGACATTTTTATGTTAATAATTGTTAAAATATTTGAGGCTGTCAGCGCAAAAGTGGCCTCACACTCAATTATTCATAGTCAGATTCATCTTCTACAATTAAATAAAAATGTGTTAAAAGGACAATGTTAAAATTGGCCTAAGAACCAACACCAATTTGGCATTTATGATAATTATTAGTATATTTTTTGCGATAATTATCAGTATTTAGATTGTGACGGACACTTCCAGTTAAGTAAGCTAAATTAAAAAGTTAAAAAATAATCTGAGACAATAAATACCATTTTATGTGTATAATCTATGGCAGCGCTGCAAACAAAACACTCTTTCTTCCTAATGCCGGCACTTTACTTGGCTATTCGTATTTGCTATTTTAAAACATGGCATCAGTCTGTCCTTTTCAATCCTTATTAAGCATGACAAGGACAAACTGTTGTCAAGTGAAGGGCCGGCATAAAAACTTGTTACTCTGTGGTTGTGGTGCATGCAGTTTGCATTCGTAGTAATCTATGGCATTCGTGCATTCCAAAGAGTAGGGATGTCGAAAGTTGAAAAAAATATCAATATCGGCTTCGATATATCGCGAAAAAAACATCGATATATCGGACCAATTTTCCCAAAAATATATTTAGGTCAGCCTAGCACAGTAATAATAACAATACAAATTATAATTAAAGAAAGAATTATCAAAGTACCAAATTGCCGATACGTTACATGACAGTACAGTATTTCACGAAATATGACACGTGGAATAATAATGAAACGAAAATTATCTCCCTAAAAATAGACCCGATTTTCGAATGACGAAAATGATTGCAGGGCCTCTCAGGTGCCATCTTTCGTAAACAAGACTAGAAAGTCACACACTTCCACAGAATATAATGGGATTCAGCGCAACCAATTCACCAGCGAAACTGATTTACAAATAATAGACAATACTAAATACAGCACAGATCATAGATATGTTCAATATCATTAATCTGAGATCCAGTTACGATTTTTCCAGATACGAATTTAGTTAGATCGTGATATGCCACTAATAATTAAAAAAATATCGTTTTTGATACGAATTTCGATATTGGTTATTTTGTATCGATGTATCGATATATTTTCAACAAGCCTACCAAAGAGTAGTTTAATATACCGGAAAGTGCATGCTCGTTTCGGATTACCTGTTGTGTGTGTTTATTTGCATTGTTTTGCCTTTAATTTAACTATTTCGGCTATCTAATCCATCGATGTTACCAAAGAGCAGAGCCCTTATTACCAAGTGCTAGTGAACCTGTGCCACAACATCCTGAGAGGATCATACTGCCAAATTATTCAAGAACACCTGATACACATTCACGCTGCATATTTACACAATATACATGTGATATACAAATAAATACAATAAACAATATGATACAATTATGTAAAAATTGACAATAAATAAGAAGCAAAACTAGTTTTTATTTTATTCATGATTCCTACCTAACCAAGTTTTTCCTAATAATTATTCTTTAAAATCGCACCGAATAAAATGAATTAGTTGTATTATTAATTCACTTCATACTGAATTCATACTAAGTTCATAGGTTGACCTAGATGTTTCATTGAATATTAAACATAACCTCAAAAAAAATTAGTTTTCCAAATAATTTAAGTTCTCAGAAGTGTCCGTCAATAATCTTTGTTTTTACTGACATTTACTTACGATTTTGAACCTAGAAAATAATATATCATGATTGTTGGTTCTTAGGCTAACTATGTATGGACGCTGAACAATGTAATTTCATTCAAAATTGGGAAGATGCAATATTTTCATTTTTGTTTTCATTTTAAATAATCCCATGTAGAATAAACCACAGATATATTAAAAAATTAAAACATTGTAATTTATCGGAAAAAATGCGGGTTTTAAATTGACAGTTCAAATTTTCGCGCGAAAACGGACGTATGATTCCGATGACGTCACTCCTGTCCGTCACTGGTCGTATACTTGTTCGTCGCTGACTTTCAATTTTCATACTTTTGCATATTTTTTCGACTTTCGAGATATTTTTTTGTAAAAATTTAAAATGGACTACCCATCAACATCAGGTGATCATAACAATACCACTAATATTCCGAAAAAAGCCGTGTTGACTCATGTTTTGTGCCAATGTGTCCATCTACTTCAACAAAATTTCCAAATAAATTGTTTGACTTTTGATTAAATTAATTTAATTGACCCAAAACTGAGAAAAAAGTGGTTTCAAGCTGCGAAGAGAAATGACAATTATTCTCCAAAGACCATTATTCGATGCTGTGAAGATCACTTTGACGTAAGACGGCGAATATACTTGTTATATGCTTAATTAATCTCCTTGTACATAAAAACGCGTTAGTAACCTACCTAATACTTACAGAACCTGTCTATAACATATTTTTAATTTTACAGTTGGAGAATGACGTCGAAAATTAGATAAAGTTTAAAATGTGTGGCACAATCTTCACATTGGCAGGGCTGAACCAAGCTTTGCGTTTCATTTAAAATAACTGTAATACGATAACCTTCTTTACGTACTTTATGCTCCGGAGAACTCGACCTTTTACTGTACATAATTCTCCATCCCTTTTAATTTGGACATAGCCGATTGCATTATCGCCGTAAGATTTGTAGAAGCCGAAGATTTGTACGATTTTTACATACCGTAGTAATTTAGTCCCTTTCATTTCTACACTTTAAAACTCTGCACTTTGGACAAAAAAAGTTATAACCATGTCAACGCTAACTCTTGGTAAATTCCTGGAGACTGCTTTAATAAACCCATCTTCCATTTTTATCAAACAACGCAATTAATATTCCCATAAAATAATATTCACTTTTACAACCAGAACCTCAAATAAGTTGTCATAACAGGAGTGACGTCACTAATCGCTGATTGGTGTTATAAAATACGTTTTTTCAAGTAATTTTTAATTCGTAATTATTGTTAAAAAACAACATTATGTAAAATAAAATCGTTGCAGTAGCCTTTCTTTTATATTTTTTTTAACATTTTAATCATAAAATTTTCATAAATATTATATTTGCATCTTCCCTTTTTTTCTACGTAAACTTCATAAGTGACCTAAGTAAGCCGCTTAATCAGAATATGAAAAATTGAGGGTTAGGCCACTTTTGCGCTGGCAGCCTCATTTATACTCATATTAATAGAGATCAATTCACATCATAAAATACTCTTTAAATTGCTTACTTTTATAAACATTTACCAAGGAACACAAATATTAAGACATTCAATATCCACGCCACGGTAGGATACATTATTAAAAGTCAACCAAACTAATATCTAAGATCTGCTACTTTTTAGGTGCTTCATACGTTAACTTGCATGGTCTTACTACAAAAGTTTTAAACCATGTTTAGGCAACTTTTATATGTGGGTAATTTGTTTTTAAACTTGTGTTGAAGGCATGTCTAACTTTTTTGTGGTCATAAGGGTAATATTAAGATTATTTGGAATCGTTACCTTCAAAACCACCAGGGAAGCCCCCTGGGAAGCCTCCGGGGAAACTACCAGAACCCCCTTTCCCGAGTTTAGCTTGCAATTTTTCAATAACAGCAGCAACCTTCGGATTGTTTTGGTACTTGACGAAATTGGCTGGATTTGCAGAGACGTCTTGGAAAGCTGCAGCTAATTCTGGATCCTGAGAATGAAATGATTAAAAATTCAATATATACTTACCATACTCATAAAAAAACGTTTTTTTTTTCAAATGTTTTTTTTACAACAATTCTTTTTTGACTTCTACAGTGCATTCTATTCATATTTAATTAAATAAATTTTAATTTGAATGACTGGTAACTGTGCGTTAAAACATAAGAAACCAAAGTTCTTCCGTCAAAGTGGCCATGTGTTTATATTGCCGCGGAATAAATGGATGGAATAGAAACTAAATTGTGCATGGCAGAATGAACTTTATGTATATGGGTCAATCAACTATTCCTTGCTCGATGTTACCCTTTTCCTGTCCCATAAGCATAATACAAAATCTACCAAAAAATATGCGCTAAAATCATAATTTATGTATTCCTAGAAACATTTACAAACATATAATCAAAGAAATATTGAGTTTTGGTTCAAACTAAACAATCTTTTATGGTTGTCCTAAAGACAAATCGGTCATTTCGTGATATCACGGAATGTCCTCCGGAAACAGGTCATCAAAACTATTTCCATTACGAAAAAAAACTCTATGAAACAATTCTCAGTAATTGAAAAAAATCACTTTCAAGTATGTACTCTGTTAATAAAACATATTGGTATTTATTAAGGTTAATAAAAATTACCAAAGTATTTTATTTTACTTGTGTCCCCAAAAATGTTTGCTTAGCTAACGTCACCTGGACCACCGCTAATTTAGTATGCGAAAAAAACATAGATGGCGGCTGAGTACGTTAGCAACAAGGCCGTCTCTCTAAGAAGATGTCGCGTCCTACCGCCATTTTTATTTCAACAAAGGCGTGGCGTCAGTCGGGCGAGTTCCGTAAGTGAAAGTGCGTGTTCTTATTGTCGTTCCAGCGGACAACCGTCAGAATTCCATAAGTACTCAATATTTAACAATTAACTATATTGTACTAGATGTTGTGTCAGCTAGATTTTACTGTGAGAGTAGGAAAAGAGGCAATAAAACGTTATTATTTAATAGGAAGCCAAAAGTTTATAAAACGTATTACGGACAACCAGTCACTTGGACAACGAAATTGGTGGTCCGTAGGACATTTTGGTTGTCCTTAGGACAAATAATATTATTTTGATAATAAACATCTATAAATTAAATATTTATTCGTGCATTGGTTGTGACTATTGCTTCTACACCAAGAGGTCAGTGAAATGAAATGAAAATGAAATGAAATGAAAATGAAATGAAATCATCAGATGTTTAGTACCCATAGTATAGTACAAGCTTCGGCTTAGTTTGAGACTAGATGCCTCGGTGTGGTCTTGAATGCCATGTGCTAAAAAATTTTTTTGAAAATGGGATTGTCGGAGAAAGAAAAATCGAGACGATACAGAGAGAGGCTTAAAGCGTGCCCATAAAAATTAGCTGAAAGGAAGAGAAAGAACTGAGAAAGCTATCATAAACACAAAAAGTTAATTTCAAGTATGCAGCCTGAGGAGCAAAAGAATGCAGAATTATTTGGAAATTGCGTAAACAGGAGCAGAGGAAATGAATGCAAGTAGTACGAGATGTATTTTTCAATACACCCGCAAGAATTTGATATACCGCAAGAACAACAAGCAGTCACACCGCCTCCTCCTGCTGTTACGTTGGATCCTGAATGTAAAGAAAGAGGAAGAAAAAAAACGCAGAGATATATCTAATTGTAAAGAGAAAATTTGAAACTACGAATTGAAGCAAAGATGTGGAAGAAAAAATACGAAAATTTTAAAAAGAGAGCTAATCGTAAGAAGAAAGAATTAGTTCAGGTGAAAGAGAATTTAAAACCTAAAGAGAATAATCCTAAGGTAGATTGTGAGGTAGTCTATAAATATAATATATTGACTAATGCTATCAAAGAAAAATACAAGAAAACTAAAGACATGAGCGAAAACTGAGTGGAAGAATATGTTTGATAACATGCATACAGCGCAAAAAAATAAAATCATGAAAGAGAGCTTAGATTTAAAATATCAAGTCAGGGCAAAAGCAACAACGCGCCATGGACATACACAACTCTCAAAAAAAGAAACTGTCACTAAAGGCAAAATGAAGATGCAAAAACGGGTTCTTTTGGAGTCTATGAAAAATCTTTTTAAAGCTTTTAAGTCTGAAAATCCAGGAATAAAAAGTTCTTATTTTAATTTAACAAAATATAGACCGTTCTACGTCGTAAGACCATAAGAATTTGAATATTTTTTTTACCTTTATTTATATTTTTTTTATTATTTAAAAATAAAACACTAAAATAAGCTTTTTAAGTCGAAGTATTTCCTTTGGACAACTGTTAATGTCCATTGGGCAACCAAGTTGTCCCCACATTGAAAATCAGTTCTTATTTGATTTTTTGGCTTTAAATTATAAAATTATTTATGTTTATTGGAAGGATAGAAAGTACAAATTAAACTAAACGGTCTGTGGTATAATGTTGCATTTATTACCATTATTTTCAGTTATAGGAAAGTTTCATTACGCAAAAAAGATCCCCTGGACAACGGATCATTAGTAGTAGAATATTAAATAAATTATACTTTATTTTATTTAAACGAATATTAAAATGTAGAGACAATGTTACGATATAATAAAAAAATGGATTTTCTTTAATTATTATTGTTAGTTGAGTTATTTAAAAAATCTATAGTGTTAGTGGTCCAAGGGACGGATTTTGCTGAGGTTGGTGGATATTTTTCCTCTAAATTTTTGTAATTTAAGAAAACGTCACTGCCCGTTACCGGACCATAAAAATTATTAAATCATCTATTATATGAAATTTAAAAAAGTAACTCTTTACGAAAAAAATTAAAAAACACTATTTTGGGCAACGTAGCAATAAAAAGTTGATCGACCCATATATATTAACCTTAGATTAAAACAAAAGGGGAAGATACGGTACGTTCATACTAGCACCAAATAAAATATGATCCGACTCAAATTCATAAGCAACTCTCACACACGCACACGTGTGTATATAACCATTCAATCGAGCGAGCGAGACAGAACTGTACGCTTCAACGCAGCGCGAGCGAAACGGCGAGTCCGCCTCCGAGTCCGTACGGCTGAGCTGTATTGTTGTCCTTTTCTTGATAACAAAATGGCGATTACGTAAATAACATTGATGACAAGCCGTGACTTTCGAGAAAAAAAAATGTTTTTACAGTTTTATGAATGAAAAGTGTTGACGAGGCATTTTTTATTTGATTTTGAACTATTTGTGTTCTTTATAAAAAGCATCGAAGGCAATGTTTTATCTTCATAACACAAAATATACGCAGTATTGTTATATGCAAATGCAGCGTGTTTGAATGTCCAATTGTGACTAAAGTGAATTGTGGTCGTGCACTACAATTTAAGCGGATCACTTTTGAGCCGCAAGTGCCGTATCTTCATTTTTTGTTTTACGTTTTTTGTTTAAATACGAGAACTATCTCGTATTTAGTTACTAAGTTAAACATTTGTATATATTGCTCGCACCTCTGGGATGGCTCCGCCAAGTACTTGCTCGATGCTTTGGATAGGTTACAGCGGCGCACAAAACGCATCATACGCGATGAGGAGGTGACTAAACACCTTGAGCCTCTTCAATTACGCCGTGACGTGGCGTCACTAAGCGCGTTCTATCGTCTGTACCACGGCGAGTGTTCTGAGGAGTTATTCTCTCTTATCCCACCTTCCCCTTTCCTACAGAGGACCACGCGCGCTGGCTTACGTTTACACCGTCTTACTGTGGCCACAATTCCAACGCGTACAAAGAAATTTAGTGACTCATTTCTTTGTCGCACTATCCGTAAATGGAATGCTCTGCCCGCTCACGTGTTCCCTCCCTCTTACAACCTGGGATCCTTTAAAAGAGGCGTGAACAAGCAACATGCAGGCCGGCAGGGTGAGGATGGCTGGTGTGGCAGGTAGAACTGCTGTATCAGCTATCTTCGCGTCTGGACTTCACCTACACCTAACATCAGGTGGGGTGGAGTCATTTGTCGGACCTATCTATATATATAAAAAAAAAACTTTTTATGGTTTGTTTACCTTTTGTCTCAGTGTTATAGGTCTACAGAGTGTCGAGAGAGCGGGCGTAGTTGTGGCACTCCTTTAAGACAGGCCGGCCACATATCCGCCAGTGAATGTAATGGTTGCCTACCTGGGAATGAGCTCCCGCTCCCGCCTCCGCTTGTGCCCGTGCTGCTTTATTCAACTTCAAATCAGCGTCATTTCATTAAAGGGCTGTATTGGTTGCGCACCTGGAATGCGGTCATGATCTCCGGGTCGAACAGCAGGTTGCTGAAGTCCTGCGGGTTGAAGCCCCCAGGCGGGGGACGAGTGCCTGCACCCGCTCCCATACCCGCGCCCGCTGTCGCTGTCGCCTCCGCTTGTGCCCGCGCCGCTTTAGCACGCGCCTCGGCCGCCTTGCGGGCGCGACGCAACTTTGCCCGGTGCTGCGTATATACCAATGCAATACGTCAACAACACGTCTAACGCTTCATATTAACGAACTAAATTAATATGGAAAACGAGCGAGCCTTACAGTAGTCGCGTATGATGTGTAACATTTGAAACCTCACCTTATATTAGTAAAAAAAGAAATAAAACCTACTACAAAAGGATAAGCCATATGAACATTGTTCTATAATCAAATCAAATAGCGCGCGCTTCCCAAACTTCCTGTTACACACTTCCGTCCCACTTCACGTAATCACTCCCACAAATTGCACGAAAGCGAGAGGAAAGATGTTACACATCGAAAAGAAAGAAAAATACATGATTATTGGCCTAAAACCACAAGTAGGTAACAAAAATAATTTTCATAACGATAAAAATAAAAACAAACAGAGAACAACAAATTGGGGAGAGAAGATAGGCCAATCAGGACCCTGCCTCATTTTAATGCTGTAACAGTGGGGCGGGAATATCCCCACCGTAACAGCGCTGGTATTCTGGTAAGGGCATGCACGAGATTGCTAGAGTATAAAACCTAAAATTACAAAATAAAATTAAAAATATATCGACGGTGGAAAGGAAAAACAAATGAAACGCCACTTTGGTCGAAAATGACTTTTAATACAGTTCGATAGAGTTTTGGATTCTCTATCGATCTGTCTAGGTTAGAAGCCAATCGGAAGCCTTTTTTGGCGTTTCATTTAAAGTACATAATGGGGTATTTTTAAAATACACTCCCTTTAAACGACAGTTTTATGATATATTTTTTGACCAATGTCATATAAGTTAATAAAAAATATTGTAAATGCCTCTTAATTTATTGACCAATCTTATTATTTTACGAAGATGGCACATCTTGCAATTTACCCTTCCTAATTAATTTTTAATTTGGCCTTTCAATACTTTTTCCCTAATAACTTATGTTTAGACGTGTCGTAACACGTTTTGTTCCTCAAAAGTAAAGTACAGATCGTGGCGTTTAAGTTGTTATTCCCATCCTACTTTTAAATAAACAGGTCGTATAAGTTACTTTTACTGGCATAAATAATTTTGCCAGTAGCAAATAATTTATTTTTTCCTTCTTGATTTTTAACAAAGTTGTCGTTTAATAGATGTATTTTTAAAACGTTACTCCATTATTGTGTGATAAAAGGTTAGAAATATAATACTTTCGTCGCATCAAACCTATCAGTCACCAATTACTATTATGTTAAAATGGTTGTGTGCCTGTGACACCTTCATTCCGGTAAGTAAGTTTTCGTAATTTTGTATGAATGTTAGACAATACAAGTTATTTGAAGTTAGTTACAAGTTACAAAGTTGAAGTAGGTAACAGTTTTCTAGGTATTAACAGTAAAAATACACTATACCTACATAGTTAAGTTTAATAATTTTATGAACGGTATGCAGCAACAGATAATAATTTCGGTCATTATCAATCATTATGTATTAATTTTACCTTATTAAATAAACATTAACAATGGTAGGTCCTTGTATAAGATGAAAAATAAACTTTTAAAAAACAACCACATCTCCGAAGTCCTCAGGTGGGATTTATAAGTGCATTTTTAACTTCTACTATGAGCTAGTATTGTTCCATCAAATTGAAGGTAACTTAATTACCTTCAACTTCGAATGTGATATTTTTACAAAAATGTTTAAACAACCGCTTAAGATGAAACAGCTTTATAATATCGGATTGTGAAAGCGGATTAAGGTAATATAAATACATTACGCATATAGCTGTTTCATCTTAATCGATTGTTTAGATATTTGTAAAAATATCACATTCGAAGTTGACTACTACTACTTTCGCCTTCGAATGTGATACATTTAAATTTCAATGCATGTCAGTGCCTGGATAGCTCAGTGGATAGAGCAGTCGCCCGGATAGCGAAAGGTCGTGGGTTCGAATCCCACCTGAGGGCTTCGGAGATGTGGTTGTTTTTTATAAGTTTATTTTTCATCTTATTATCGATCATATTTCACTACAGTATAATACAGTATTTTGACTAGGCCGTTTTCTTAATATAAGTAACATAATGAAATCTATTTGTAAGCAGTAACATAGGTTACTAAAACTAATGATACTAGTGATAGCGTGCCTAAAAATTAGTTTAACACGGAAGTTTGTATGAAGTTAAAATACTGTATTATACTGTGACTTTACGTAGGTATATTTGTATGTTAGTGTTGTGTGTGTGAGTATGTAAATGAGTTTTGTATGTGTGTGTGTGTGTGTGTGTGTGTGTGTGTGTAGGTAGGTAGGTATGTGGGTGAGTATATGTATGAGTGGGTGTGTGTATATATGCATGCTTGTGTGTGTATGTGTGTGTGTGTGTAGCCAAAAATGTAAAACATGATAACTAATTCATTAAGTTTTTTTTTCAGGATAATGGACGATTCAAGAAATTCTCTTGTAAGATCAATACCAGTTTTGGCCTCCCGGTGTCGTGCTAGATTTGCAGTTGTTAAAAAAAGGTTAAATGTTGACGTTGAAGAGTTCGAAACAAGTACAGATTCCAATACTAATTGCAAAAAAGAAAATTTTATTAAAGAAAAATCTTCTAACATACAAAAAAAAGATGATAAAAGAAGTTCACCTCTAAGACCCATACAAACACTAGATAACAACAGTAATGAACACCCAAAAGTTATACAGGGACCAGTTGAAAACAAATTTGAACGGCCAAAGGTTATACAGGGACCAGACGAAGACAGAAATGAACACCTAAGCGCTGTAGAGTCTTCAATCAATAATGAGATAAATGCATGTCTGAAGGCTACACAGGCACAAGTTCAAGAAGAAATTGAACACTATGAAAAAAAATACCAATCTGAAAATACAAAATGTAACGATTTACTCGAGACAGCTTTATCCAAATCACAGATTCAGTTTGAAAATACATTACTCCTCGAAGTCTTAGAAGAAAACATGAACACATTGGGCCCTCTGTCACCACGTGCCCAACAAATCGAAGATATTAACATGCCCGAAGAAGATGTCTTCTTGACTGATTTGTTGACAGTTACACAAACAACAAATGAAATAATTACCTCTCCAGACACATTAATAAACATAATTGAAAAAGCAATAGACAAACCATTACCAAAACCAGACACTCCTGCAGCTGATTTGTCGATAGTTACACAAACAACAAATGAAATAATTACCTCTCGAGACACATTAATAAACATAACTGAAAAAGTAATGAACAAACCATTACCAATACCAGACACTCCTGCAGCTTCGACAAGTAAGGCTATTCTAAAGAAAACTAAAACGGCTTCTGTAAATAAACGTAGCAAAAAAGTATTCCTTGATTTTCTATCGGAAGACGAAGATTTCCAGTGGAGTTCTTCATCTTGGTCAGTTTCTGAGAGTGAAAGTGAAATAGAGTTTGATGATACAAATAGAAAGAAAAAGAGAAAGAAAAGCGATACTCAAAATGATGATGGTAAAGTTGGAGAAAAAGGGAAGCGTAAAGAAAAGCCACCAAACAAGAAAAAAGAACGGAAAAAGCTAAAGGAGCAAGGAAAAGAATATGTCACCAAAACTGGAAAAACTATTAAAGAAAAAAAAATGTTGAACAACCCGTGTACAGAGTCAAAATGTAAGTTCAGCTGTTGGAAAATAACTGATGAAAGAAGAAACCAAATATTCAGCCATTTTTGGAATTTAGATACCACAAGACGTAGAGATTGGTTGGTGGCAATGACAAAGAAGGAGCCAATAAAAAGGAAGAGAGCGAAGAGTTCTTCGGTAAGAAGTAATACATTCTCTTATTTTATTAACAGTGGCGAAGGGCGTGAGCAAGTTTGTCAAAAATTTCTTCTTGCCACCTTAAACATAACACAAACTTTTGTTTTCTATACTGTAAATAATTCCGAATTCGGTTCAGCAAAATCTGATTTCAGAGGTAAAACAGTTCCTTCCAATAAAACGAAAGATGAACATTTAAATGCAGCCCGAAATTATATAAAAAATCTACCAGCTTTGCCCTCTCACTATGTTAGGAGAGATAGTATGCGTTTATATTTGCCTAATGAGTTTAAAAGTATTTCACATCTTTATTACATTTACAAAGAAACCTTAATGTCACAAGGAAGAGATCCGATAGGGGAAAAAGTATTTATAAATCTTTTTAAATCAGAGTTCAATATCAGTATCCATCACCCTAAAAAAGATAAATGTTTAAAGTGTATTTCCTATAAAGATAAAAACGGTGCTGAAATTCTAGAGCAGAAGACACAACACGAAAAGGATATAAAAAATTCTTGCGAAAGATTTAAAACACATAGAAAAGTGACTACTAACAACTCTAGCATTTTATGTGTATCATTCGATTTGCAAAAAGTGCTTAATACGCCATACGGGGAATCAATGCTACTTTATTATTCACGTAAATATTCTGTTTATAATTTAACATTTTATGAAAATGGAACACGAAATGGGTATTGTTATACGTGGGGAGAGTCAGATGCAAAACGTGGATCCAATGAAATTTGCACTATTCTTAATAAATACATACGTAAAGTTGATTCTCGTGGCACTGTTACAACTTTATTATTTTACTGTGACTCTTGTCCTGGGCAAAACAAAAATAAAATAGTTTTAGCAGCCCTACATGCAATTCTTCAACAATGCGATAATATAACTAAAATCCAGATTAACTTTTTATTACCAGGACACACTTATATGCCAGCTGACAGTATTCACTCTGTGATAGAACGCAGCATAACAAAAGGTAGTATTGTTTGGGCTCCATCTCAGTGGGAAACAATATTTGCGATGGCTCGCAAACATCCAAGGCCTTATAATGTAGATGTTATGACCCACAAAGACTTTAATGATTGGTTTTCCTTTGGAGATAAGTATTTTAAGGGTAATTTAGTGGGCAAAATTAATAAAGTTCGCATTGCAACTAGCATGAAAACTTTTCCGAATACTATTTTCCTCAAATATACAATGGATCCAGAGGCTACTACGGAAGAAATTCCTGTTGTATCAAAATTAAGAACACTTCCTCAAGACAGATTATACAATGCAATGTTACCAATTTCTAAAGCTAAATATCAAGACCTAATAAAATTATGTAATACTAATGTAATACCACAAAGATTCCATTCTGAATATAAAAATCTCCCTTCTGGAGCCACAAAAGATGTTTTGGTGGATACTGATATTGAAGATGAAAACGTTGATGATTAATGCTAGTTCATTTATATAATTTTTATTCTTTACTTGTGATTAATACTTAATTTTACCTTTTACCTGTCGCGTTGCATTATATTTAAAATTGATAAAAACAGGACGAAACGCGATAATAATTGTGAAATAAATACATGTATTTACTTACTGTTGACGTTTCGGTTGCGATGCTTGAGAGTCCCTTTGTTGTGACCACGGCTACAGCACCGCAGTCGAAACGTCAAAGTAAGTAAGTACCTACTCATTTACTTATTTCACAATTACTACCGCTTTTCGTCCCGTTTTTATCAATTTTAATTACGCTTTACCTCTAACCTAATAAGTATATTTTAAAAATTTCTAAGAAAAAGAAACCTAATATTACCCAAATTAAGGGAAGTACACAATTTTGTTATATTTGAAAAGTGCCATTAATTGATTATAAGACTGCTACTATACTATTTAGATATTAAGATTGTATGTAAACAAAACGTTCTGAAAATACACGTAGTTTACAATTATTCCAATTTAAATGTTCCTATTTTGATAAATAACATTATCAACGTTATGTTAATATTTGCTTACACAAATGTATTTTTTTTAAATTTTTGATATTGTTTATTTAATTTTTAACTATTTTTAAGAGTTTGTTGTATAATGATAAATAACAACTTTATTCTAATTGAAAGTAGAGCCTTTTGTTGATTTTTATTTAAGCAAAAAGTCATTCTCATAAAGTACGTAAGAATGTAAAAACGTTTGATTTAAGTAATTAATTTACTATGTATCTTAATAGGACTATTATTTAGGTAGTAATTTAAATAATTAAACGTCATTTAATGTTCACTGTGACATAAATGTCAAATTTTTGAACTTTTATTAAGTTGATACAATTACCATTTTTTTCATGATGATTAAAGGTTTTGTTTTAATTAACTTGTATAATTATTTTTATTGTTAACTTTATTAAATCCCTATCCTAAAAATGCATAACACTTAAACTTTATAACCGAATATGGTCAATAAATTATTTTACCAATTTAAAAATATAACAGGTATCGTACATAAAAGTTTCTTCAATATTGTTTTTTTTTTATCGAAGTGTTATGAAGCATTTTTCCTTTTATATTTTTAATTTGATTTGGTGTTTAAAATAATTTTCCCCTCGAATTTTTATGGAGATTTGGTGAATGAATTAATTTACCCTTTTAGGTTTTTTTTCTCGATGGCCTATAAAGTGTTTTTCCCTGCTTACTCAAAAGGTCGTTTTAATGAAACGCCACTTTTTTCTTTAATTATTGACTTTAATTCACATAAATTAAACACATAATATAAAGCATATAAAACTTGATCTGTTCACAAAATAAAAAAGAAAAAACATTAATAATAAAAAAGTTATGAACGTTTTTCAAAAAATTTTGACTTTAAACTGCTCTGCTGAACAATTGACCAAATGGCGTTACATTTGTTTTTCCTTTCCACCGTCGATATAGTTATAATACTTATAATATAATACATAAACTGAGTTATATAAACAATTATAGTTTAAATATAAATAAAATTTAACTAGAAAAAATTCCACGCGGACCAGGCAGCAGACGGGACTCGAATCTGCACGAAAACCCGTGCCGACCCGAATTTTATCTAGTTATATTTTATTTAGATCTAAACATCAAGCAGTTACATGCTTAAAAAATAAAAAAAATGTTTATTAAATTGATAATTAATTAATATTAGGGCCGCAAGTGCTACCCCCGCGCCCACACTTTGTTGTAAATATAAAACAAGCATGAATACCTACCTCTTTTTCTTCCTTCTTACGTTGTGCACTGAGTCTGTGTTGACGAAGTTTCTCGGCGTTTGGTTTCACTTCAGACAGCCACTCATTAGCCTGGTCGTCATAGTCTATCTTCAGGGACTCGCATAAATCGTGCGATGCTTCTTCAAACATTCCTAATAACCTGCATGTACAGAAAATGTATGTAGATTTACATCTATTAATTGGTTTTTTGGAGTATATAGCCGTGCGACGTTATCGTGTCGTGTGACACACATATATGTTGTCACAAACGCTCTCGAATCAAAACCGCGAAAATGCTGACAGATTTGGCCAGAATACCACAGTCGAGTGGTGCTTTTCATTCTAATATGAGCCATATATAGTGCGTCGTAAGGGAGAAAGTGCAACGACATCTGCACTTGTTTACAACTTATGCGCGTAACCTACGTATAAGTAGGTACTACGCACTCGCGGGTGCTAGTTAATTCTTAATTAAACTGGACCTTTCTAGAATGATTGGCGTATATAAGCGTGTTCAGCGCCGCGCAGTGAACAGTTGTTTCATCAGTGGATACACAGGCGATCAAAGTGCAAGTGTTCAACTGCGATTATTTAAAGACTTGTATAGTGAAGTACAGTGTTAATGAGTATATTGTGATTAACATTGTGTGTTAACTGTATGGTGAATATATATCTATATATATATATATATATATGTGTGTGTGTGTGTGCTCGCTTTTCCCGACGAGCATAAAAGCTGAAAGGTAACTCGGCGAACGCTGAAACGCTACGAGCGTCACACGGGACAATACACAATATATGAGTGATGCGTGCTGTTAGGTTATTTAAGCAAAGAAATTTCACTTCGGATGTGTGGTGCAAACATTTTTTTTAACAACTTTTATCCTAACCATTTACTAATTTGAATATTAAAACTGGCTATTAGTAAGGATGTTAAAATTTAATTTAAAGTGGACATAGAGGTAACGGTGAGGATCTCGATGGCGCAGATAGTTAGCGCGTTCGGCTGCGTTCGTTGAAGTAAAGTAACTTTCGCAGTGGTCGGCCATTACATGAGTGACAAAAAATCTCCTATGTCGAGCTTCCATGCTTCGGAAGGCACGATAAGCCGTTGGTCTCGGCTGCATCTGCAGTCGTTAGCACCCGCCAATTCGCACTGGGCCCGCGTGGTGGGTCATGGCCCAATCTCCCTATTCCATCCATTGGGAAGGCCTATGCCCCAGCAGTGGGGACATTAATAGGCTGATGATTATGATAGAGGTAACTTTAAAGTAACTAGAAGTGTGACCAGATTGTTTTATGAATAGTTACTTTGAAAAATTTTACCTGTAGGCACGACCACGGAATTTATAGGCAGCGGCACTATCACAGTTCAGTTCCAGGGCTCTAGTACAGTCTTTGATACAGGCGTTGGGTTTGTTAAGTTTGAGATAAACCTGCAAATAATAATAAAATGCTCCTGTGTTATTAATACAAAAAAGTGCAATTTCAGGTAGCACATTTAATCACAGAGATAACCAAAATGAGTGGCATATAAAATGATAAACAAATTAAGCAGATGATCTAGATTACACCTGAAAATATAATCCAATCAACTGCTATGTTATTATCTGTGATAGACGAGTGCTTCAACTGATTTCTTATTAACTCACTTGACCTCTCTTGGCAAACAATAAAGCGCTTTGTGGATTAAGTTTTATTGCTTCAGTGTACAGCTTGATAGCTTCATCAAACTGCAGTTCCGAAAACGCTCTCATAGCTTCTGACCGCTTCTCATCTGACTGGTCACGTTCTTCCTCAGTGGGCTCTTTTGATAAGTCAAACATCTCTTGAACATCTTCTACTATATCAGCTTCAATTACTCCTAATTACATAAATCAATTGTTATTTTCTAAATTTTCTCTTACAACACAGCTTTCTAATTATTTACGTTTTTTCATGGGCAATGAATTAATAATTTACTAATAAATCCTATAAATTTATTTTAAAAACAAATGTCAATCACCTTCCATGTTGAGTTCCACATCCGATTCTGGCTCTGATTCTTCATCAGATGATGAAATTTTTTCATCAGCATTGTTATTCCTGGTGTTACTAGTAACAAAACAAAAGGAATAGTTTTGTTTACCAAATAATATAAATGATATATGGGTGACCTTTATTTCATATACAATTTTAATATCTTAATTTATACCAAAACAGACACACCATGCATGTGAAATTCCCGAGTAAGGTAAAGAACTTATAGGCAATTGTTACTGTCCACAATCATGAGAGCCATAATACACTAAACTTCTTTGTTATCTTTTCAAACACAATATATTGTAGTGGAATTGTCACCCATACAAATGCCTGACACAATATAATCAAAATTTTATTCTTACAATAAGACCAACTGTAGCAGCCAAAACAAATATTAACAGTAAAGTTTTAATTCATTCCAATAATCATAATGAACTCACAGTTACTGTTGAATTCATAGTTACCTCCTTCAACTTCTATGTTAATTAAATTATAACCCATTTAAAATGTAAAGAGCCTTGTTCACTTATTTTTTATATTGAAAATGCTATGAGCCAGGTTTATATCCTCATGAATGCAAAATTTTGTTTGATTATGTTTTCACACCGATATCAGTTGATTATAATGAATGTTGGCATAGACTTGAGAGAGATGTTGGGGACAATTATACTACTTTTTCTCACAAAAATATAAATTAAAGAGGTTGAAATAAGGGATGTAAGTTGAACAGGAATAATTTTTTTCCATACAGAGGAAGCCGCAGGCAACATCTAGTTGGAATATTCGTTCAAAAATTAAAGGTTACGAGGGCAGGATAACAAGGTTTAACATGCAGTCCCTTGAGTCTCATCTCAATCTCAGTTAGTATTTTTATTTAACCTACCTATATAAAATAGCTTACACACACGCAGACAGTCCATCGCTTCTGAATTATAATATTAGATACAAGTCTCGTAATCAAAAATTTTTTGTGCGTCAAGTAATCACTAACAATACTTCAATAGTCAGAATGTGTCGGGCCTACAATGAGTAGGTTAATTTTCATAAAGATGTGGATTTGTATAGTCTCAATCTGAATCAATTAAAAAAATGTGTTCTAGAATTCTAGGTCAGGCGCATTGTTATATATAATTTTGATTTATTTAATTTAATATGTACTTAATGAAATCATATTTTATTGATTTACTAATGTTTTGTTTTTCTTGTGATGTATTATATTTTCATTACTTTAATGTTTTAAATCAATCGTAGGTCATTTATTAAAATTATAGTAATTAATTTGATTTTATTTTAATGAATTTAATGTAATACAAGGAAATGTAACAGTTAATGTCTATTTAGTGTAATTTATTTTATATAACTCTACATTTTAGTGTTGCAATCTTGAACAATTTGTCAATTATTAATAAGTCAGTGCTTTGTTGATTGTAATATGTTATGTACACTAAGGAAATAAATAAAACTGAAATGTAAGTACTTATTTCTTAATCAGAATAGCAATTAGCAGCCCTGACAGGATTAAGCTTTTTAATTGTTTAAAATAAAATATGATTTATATACATACGAATCTCCGGATGGAGCAGAGGTTTTAGTTCCTACGTTGGCTGAAGGGATGGTGACACCCAACGAGACTAGATAGTCTTTGAAGAACGCCAATTTCGGATGATGCACTATTTGCGGTGTGGTCTTGCATAACTCCACAAACCCTTTCAGCTGCGCCAGTTGCTCTTCGTTAAAAGGGCAGTTCATTTTGAATGTGCTGCCGGCATATTTTTATGTTAGGTTGAAAAATGTGTTCAGCAAGTATCTACTAACTTAACTATATTGAAAAGATGTATTATATATTTTTTATATTGATATCACTTACCTTTTATTGCAATTAAATCAAACGCAATTAATTAAATTTAATGAAAATCGTAATAAAAACAAGTGACAAGACAAGAAAAAATCCAGATTCCATTCCAGAACAACGTCGAAATAATAGTGATGGGATGCAGTGGTATCGAACGTCATTCCGCAGAATCGGTAGAGCTGCCCACTAAAATCGGTATATATGTATCCAAAGTAGGTAAACAAATAAAAGGTATATATAGTAAAGGTTTAACAAAAAAAAACTTTATTTATCAAAAAAAACAGATTAATAATTACGTTAATTTTATAATTAATTAGGGGCGTATTTTAAAATCTGATGACCCGGACGGACCAGAAAGAGAACAAACATTTTGGTACTAATCTTGTACAATCATATTTTTAAAAATATTATGTTAAATATTAAAAAGTAAGTAATATAAGATAAAAAGCATTCTTTTAGTTAGTGGTGAAACTCAAAAAACAATATAAAACTTTTAACGTATATAGGAATGCAGCGTTTAGCGTATAAAGAAACGTAGTTTGCTATTCCATAATATTATATTCGAAACAATCTATTCAACTAATCATGAGTTAAATGATTTATTGAAGCACTGTTTAAATTGCGCAAAAAACTAATGTTTTAACGTTAATAAACTGTAAGAAACAAATCACGTACAAATTGGAGTTGTTCAATTCCAAATCTTAGACAAAATATTATATTATTAATAATAAAAAAAAAATGTGTGTGTCAGCTCCGACGCACGACTGGAGTTTACTCCTTAAGTTCGATAGTCTAACCAGACGCAAAAAGAGTTTATTTAACTTTAAAAAGATTGGTACTGTATGAAAGGGTAAATTAACAAATTAATGAAAAGAATATACATATATTAATATATATTTATTCATTTCAAATACATTTATTATAACTAATCGACGAAATATTTTACATTAAACTTTTTACAATAGTCAATTTCAGATGTGGATAAATATATTATTTTAAGTTATTGTACATCTTAGTGTTTTTATTTGTTTTGTTACCTTAAGTCATGGTGGGCGATAACAGAGTCATGTTGTTAAGTTAAATATTTGTAAGGACAAATCTCAGTTTGTCCTTGGTGGGTGATTATGTATACGCCATTTGTGCATTTAAAATTTTAGTTCATATGTATCAAAATAGATGGCGCTGTAGTTCGTTGCATCACGCTTGTAAATATGTTTGGAGCTACATATAGGCAAAACGTCACCTAACTAATAAAGAAATCTATGGTCTAACAAAATACACTGTAGTTTCAATTCAATTCTTTTGCACCTAAGCTCTCGGATTTAAGAGTCATTTTGGCTCGAACAGGATGCGCACCAAAAACGTAACGAGGTCATTCATCGATAGATTTAACTCCTCACATTTTTCTCATACCGGGCCCCTTATATATGCAAATCGATTCTTAAGGAGTAAACTCCAAAAACATTGATTACCAATCCGATTTTTTTAATGGTCACGTAACTAATGTCAATTCAATTTTTGGTAATTATGGCTGCATCTCATTACGTGACGATTCTGCCAATGTCTGGGTTAAAGGAGATCAGATATACATACAGTTTGTCTATAAAGTCGTGACATGAATGTTTGAGGAACTAACATTATTCATGTGTCTGGCAACACCAAACTTATGTACATCAGCTGTCATCGAGTTTCAGTTGTGGAACAGTCTTCTTTTTGAATTTTTTATTGTTTGGATTAAACTGTAATAAATTAAGACGAAACTACGCAGAAAGGTATAAAACTGAGTAAAGTAAATCGGAGCACGCGGGAAGTGATTTTTAAAGTTTTCCAGCGATGTTTCGAAGACTACCAAGCTGGACGAATTTTGTGGGATTTGGACGATGTTTATGGGTGAACAGCATCTATGACGGGTATGTAATCGTGTAACTATTTGTTTGTAATCTGCCTGAAGTTACAAATTTACTTAATTTACGATTTTGAGACCAAAAAAGGCATTGTTTACATTGCACATTTTTAGGTTAGATTGACATTGTAAATAGGTAATATTGTAGTACGACCATTTCTTTTGATACGATATTATGGTTCAACTCGGTCAGGTTTTCTACCAATTTGGAATTAATTGTTTCATGTCAATAAGTTATTGTTTCTATTCCGTTACATATTTTTTTACCTTTTTTCAGGAAAATCAGAGAGTCGGATAGACAACGAAGGTTTTAAGAATGATAGAAAGTTTGAAACTCCTGGGAAAATAAACAAGGCCGACCAAAGAAAGAAATGGTCACATAAAAAACCATGGCCAGATGCTTTTAGTGAAGATACCTATCACTAATTTTACTAATTGCACATTTACAAATTGTTTCTCTAAATAAACTTTTTATATACTATAAAATGATTTTTAGTATTATTTTCTTACCAAGTGTGTTAAAAACGCCGTATGATGATATTTGTGTGTATTGATGATTACCTAACGGCTCTGGTCTCAATGGCACCTCAGCGGTAATCACCAACATTACACACTTTTACACTATAAAGTACTATTTTATCAATAATTTTGATTCTGATTCAATTAAATATTCTTTTTATAAGCATAGGTACCTACTATATATAAAACAGAAACAAAATACGACTGTATAGTGTGTCTTATTAATTACCTATTTTACTTGAATGAACTGCTAGTATCAAAATCATTTTGGTCCGACTGTATAGGGTTGCTACATTTATACTAGTGGTGCCATCATTTAATGTCACGACTTTATAGACAAACTGTATGTTGAGCCTGTACGGTTTTATTGATGTTGTGCAGTATGTCGACTGCAGACTTGTTGAGTATCTGTAACAACACATAGACAGACATTTGTGATACCAGGCACCCATGCATTTAATATGGACTCACAGATAAACATATGTATTGGTATAGTATGACTAGGGTAAGAGGAGGAATTTTGTTGTGGTACTACAGTTAATGTTTTATATTATTTTGTGTAACAAATGTCACATTACAATTTTTATTGACAGTGTTTGTCAGTGGTCTGTCGTTATGACATTGGCAATTGCAATTGTTACTTCGCTTGCGATGCGAATATTTTTTGTTTTTGTGTTTTGCTGATGCTTTCATTGATTTTGTGATTTGTGCTATTTTTCTATGATTTCGTTATAGACGACTACATTTTCCATAAAAGACAATACCGATTTCCGCTTGTTTTATGGACTCTGTTACTTTCGTTCATCTTAATAAATTGATGGTAAATATGCCATTACTATAAAGTGACTGTATTTGTAATTATTAATTAAACATTAAGACAGTGAAGGTGGGTTATGTTAACGAATATCTCTTTGACTTGCAAATATTGAAAGAGGCAAGAGTGTCGTATTTCGTGTGTATGGATGGATTATCATCAGTTCATCACACAGACAACGTTGTTATATGCTTACCAAATGCTAGCACAATTCGGATGACAGTAAAATTATTTCTGCGATGGGCGCGGCACCATAATGTTATTGCTCCAGCCACATTTTTAAGCGGTATGCTTGTGAGAGAAAACTCAAAAAAGGAAGAAATTAATAAATAAAGTTTTTAAAGTTACTATGTATATTGACCCTCTCTCAACATATTTGTAAAAATGTCTGCAGTTGTAAGCGATCAATTTCGGTGAACAAAAGACAAAAGTCCCTCTAACACACCTTTAGCAATAACTAAATACTCATTCATACCTACTGTTGAAGGATTACCTGTAACGTTAAATATATATCGCACCTCCGGTGCGACACTGTCACTTATGCAAAAAAATCATTTTTTGCACCTATATAGTTTTTTTTTAATTTTTTTTAGATGAATAGCTAAGCAGTATAAGCTTTTCATCACGTAAAAATCTTTAAATATTGTATGTTTTGGGATGTTAAAGTTTTAAACACTCCTCATGGAAATTTTTTTTTGCATAAGTAACAGTGTTAATTTATATATGAAAAGGATTGCCAACTAACCAATCGGTAGAACAATTGGGAGAATTTCCTTAGTAATACATGGAAATTTTCTGAAATCAAGAAAAATTGTATCATTTTGTAGGAATACCGAAAAATCGGTAAGTTCGACACTAGTGATGAGATCCTTTAAATGCTAAGTCTGTGGATGAGATGAGTCAATTCTGGAGGGCTGTGTTCCATACCTACGCTCCTGGTGCAACAAATGTCAACTTTGACATCTGTTTCAAAGGGTACGGCCAGAGTGCACTCAGATTCAGATTCAGATTCTGAAAACAAGCGCGAGAAATAAACAGTGTAGTCGAAGGGTACGGCCAGATTGCACTCCTGATTCAGATTCAGATTCAGACTCAGAAAACAAAGCGCGAGAAAAAGCAGGCAACCTGCTTAGACTACACTGTTTATTTCTCGCGCTTATTTTCAGAATCTGAATCTGACTCTGAATCTGAGTGCACTCTGGCCGCACCCTAAGTCAAAATTTAAAACAAAATGATCACCTCTTGCCAACAGATGGCGCCATTCAGAGGGTGCCAAGTCGTATGAGAAATGTGCGTTGCGTGCAAGAGCTGTGCGTACGTAACTGAGTTAACAGTTAGGCTTGTCGAAAATATGTAGATGTATCGATATTTATTGTTAGATATATAATTACAAAATAACCAATATCGAAATTCGTATCAAAAACATTATTTTTATAATTATTAGCGGCATATCACGAAGTAACTAAATTCGTATCTGGAAAAATCGATATTCAACATATCTATGATCTGTGCTGTATTTAGTAATGTCTTTGATTTGATAAGCTGTTTCGCTGGTGAATTGGTTGTGCTGAATTCTAAAGTCTTGTTTACGAAAGATGGCACTTGAGAGTCATTTTCATCATTAGAAAATAGGGTCTATTTTTAGGGAGATAATTTTCGTTCCATTATTATTCCGCGTGTCATCTTTCGTGAGATACTGTACTGTCTTGTAGTGTAGCGGCAATTTGGTACTTTGATAATTCTATCTTTAATTATAATTTGTATTGTTATTATTACTGTGCTAGGCTGACCTAAATATATTTTTGGGAAAATTGGTCGGATATATCGATTATATCGATGTTTTATTCGAGATATATCGAAGCCAATATGGATATTTTTTAAAATATCGATGTATCGATATTTTATTCAACTTTCGACATCCCTAATCTCAGTAGAGTTTCTATACTATTTGATAAAAGAGAAAGAAGATGAGAGACCGCTAGCTATCTCTCTCTCTCTTGTGACGCATGACATCCAATGGCATCACATCGAAATAGTGAGATGCTTAGGGTTGCCAATGGGCATGCGCGATTAGAGAGAGAAATCTAGCGGTCTCTCATCTTCTTTCTCTTTCTATTAGAGAGACACTTCCACTTGTAGTAGAGTCTATATCTCCCCTACTCTATTCTTATACCTCTTTGGTACAACCAAACAAACAAACTCTTCAGCTTTATAATAGGTAGTATTAGTATATAGATTACGCGGCTGTGAATCGTTTTTAATGTCAAAAGGGTGCCAAGATGGTGTCGAGGCAATCAAGCATATGACCCCATTCAGTGTCAGAGAATACTCATTCGTTGACTACCAGCGGAACCCTGAACCTTGCACTTACCAACTGGAACACAACACCACCAAAGGCAAGTGTCATTTATTTTGTATAGCGGGTGCCCGCGACTTCGTTTGCCTGGAAATATTGGTTCCCTATATAAATTTCCACACCCCTTTTATGATGATTACTGGGATAAAAACTATCCTATGTTTTTTATTTTTATTCTGTGACTCAAATTATCACTTAGCCAATTTTCATCTAAATCAGTTGAGCGGTTTAAGCGTGTACGAGCTTGTTACAGCCGGCAGATATACAGACAGACACACACACTGTTGCATTTATACTGGACTGAAATTCGCTACATCTCTGTACCTGTTTCAATTTCGATGATTTATCTTTAAATAACAGTGCCTGTTAAATTGCGATGGTGTAAGTCCGGAATTGTAACATTAATTTACTTATATTGAACATACACAGTGTGAAAAAAAATATTACACTTTGTTTGCTTTATGTTCATCAAAAATTAATTGATTAATTGTGCGGAATTAATAAGCTTGCGATAATTACGTCCCAGGTCCGTGTTACGTCATTTTAAACTTTAAAACTTTAGTGTTTGTTGCTATAATTTTACCGTGTCGCGACCGTATGGGGAAGTAACCTCCATCTTACGAAGACTACAGTTAAATAGCGGCACACTTTAGTGTGTTGTAATTATTCTTCCAGAATTCCACGGGGCTGGCTGGAGGCGGGGTTAGGCTAGGCAACACGAGAGAAATAATAATAAACAATAACACAAGAGTCTATAGGCTTTGACCATACAATCAACGATATTAAATAATAATACGGTATTTAATATCGTTGCATCCAAAGACTTCCTATTTTTTAACCGACTTCAAAAAAGGAGGAGGTTATGTGTTCGACTGTATTTTTTTATGTATGTTCACCGATTTCTCCGTCAATTGTGTACCGATTTCCAAAATTATTTTTTTATTCGAAAGAGTGCACTTCCAAGGTGGTCCCATTGGAACCAAGTCAGGATCTGATGGTGGAATCAGGGGAAATCGAGGGAAACCTTCAAATTTCAAAGGCACGCACGATGTTTTTTATGCATGTTAACCGATTTCTCCGTCAATTGTGATATTGTTTACTTGGACGATGTAATTTTCACTAAAATGGATGAAATAAAAAAATATAACCGACTTCAAAATCGTAAATGGTGACTTCAGAAGTATCTCTGAAGTAATTTTGCAACTTGACGAGTCTGTATATAACAATACAGGAAGAAAAAAAAACAGCCCTTGCTGAGTTTTGCGAACCGATGGTGTAGCTTCTTGACCTGCACAAGTTCTTGTAACAGCCTAGCTAGACTGAATAAATGATTTTTGATTTTGATTATGACGGTCGCTTGGCCATCAAGCGGGCCAATATTTAAGCCTTTTTACATAAAAAAACAATAGTTTTGCTTAGGTACTAAAAGTTAAACTAATTAAACATTAGCTAGCTGTGAGCATGCACCAATGATAGAACTAGCAAGGGCGTCGCCAAGGGGACTCCTCAGTTGCCCCCTAAACCTAGAGATCACATGTGTTGCCCCATTGCCCCCCCCCCCCCCCCCCCCCTTATTCATAAGTTGGCGACGCCCTTGGAAGCTCGATGTTGCAAGTGATTACCGCGTTTCGCTGCGAACGTTGAAGTTAGCAACTTCCGCAGTGGTCTGTCATTGAATGAGTGACCAAAAATTTTCTATCTGCGGCTTCTCTGTGCATCGCAAGGTACGTTAAGCCGTTGGCCCTGGCTGCATCTGCAGTTGTTAATCCGCTCTGGGCCCCGCGTGCGTGGTGGGTCATGGCTTATCTCCAGTGGGGACATTAAAAGGCTGATGATGTTGATTATTAAAAAAAATTCAATGTAGGAATGTCAAACTTATTGGGATCTTTAATCTTATAATTAAAATGGGTATTTACACTTCGTTCGGAAGTGACTCAGACAAAAACTTGGGGAAATTTACGAATCATGTTTTATGAATTCATTAACGGCGTTGTAAATTCAATATACAATTTTCAATTATAAGTGCATTTGCGGTCAATGAAATGGTCAATGGTCTATTATCATGTTAGTCTTGATCAAACTGTTCTTAGCACAACATTGTTGCTTGTCTTTGTCTTTAATTTTTTATCGAGATCAATAATAATTTATTATAATAATACAATAACTGGTTTGATTCAAACAGAGCTATGTACATCAAGAAGTATACCGTTAAGTTAATCTGGATTTTGGGTAAGTAGCCATGATTGGTTTTTTTATTTATTATTTAATTTACAGTGAATAAATGTACCTATTACATTATTTATATCTTTCTAATAATCCTTGTTATAATCGTTTCGAAAAAGAAGATCACTTTATCGAATTTAACTATTTACAATTAATAAAAACAAATATAGTCCAATAATTGTGGGTATGTTAATTAATAGAGGCTTGGCCCGCAAGATTTTGACTTCTTTGTTTGTTCCGTTCTCTTGGGCTACTTATTGCAAATATTCTAAAGATACCTTCCCCTTTTCCCGTTTTCACACCTTAGGGGATAGGGCATATAGGGAGAAAATATTAAAACTTAATTTTTGGGCAATCAGAAGCCAATGACCAGTTCCCCTTTATACATCTTCCAAAATGGCGATTTTTCTTTATTAACATACTAGCTGTGCCCCGCGGTGTTACCCGCGGTTTATTAGGGATATTTTACCGCAGTATAACGTAGCCTATGTGTTAATTCAGGGTGTCATCTAACTCCATACCAAATTTTATTAAAATCGCTCCAGCCGTTTAGACGTGAAGAAGTAACAAACATACACACTCACAAACTTTCGCCTTTATAATATTAGTGTGATTTTATCTCCATCTTAACCCCCCAGAGAATGTAATACTTATGAAGTATGGTTCATTGTAATCAATACATAATAATTAAAATTTGTATATTTTGTTATTGTTGGTCCGATATTACTAGTTATCTATTGTTCCGATATTTGAGGTCATCTGATAATGAATTTGTTTTTTGTTTGGTACGGTTTTCTTTTGAGATGCTTTCCTTTTTTTATAAGTAGGTACATTCGGAACAAAAAAAAAAGAATTTCAAAATGATAAACAGTATACATAATACTAAGTCAATTTATTTTTTCAATAACTACAATGTGAATATCAAATTGAGTGAGCACTTTACTTATGTATTGCTTTACTACAATATCACAATCGCTTATCTGTTAAATTAAATCATCGAAGTACCTAGTCAGAAGTAATTTCGTAATAAGTATTATATTATATACCGTTATACCACAGGCCTAGATTAAGGTAGAAGCCGCATGTGCTTTAAATTGTACGAAAACCGGGTGTGCCATATTTTGAGTACTCAAGAGAATAAATTAAGTGGTGAAAAAGCATGGGGCCTTTCACCTATTTTAATTATTTCGTTTTAGCCGAATATGAAATAATTAGTATTTTTTTTATATTGCGATTGATGTCCAGTATCGAGAAAGGTGACGCGAAGGTGACTATTGGTCTTCCTTTTGGCACGTAATGTGTCTCTATTTTGATCTATATCTGTGACTTCAAACATGTAGGTATAACGGAAGTATCACTTGTCGAGAACGGCTCGACCAGAGTTTGAGAGATTAAGAAGCTGTTTTTGTCGCTTCCACTTCAGAAGTTGGAAAATTAGACGGTAGTATAGTATTAATTCTCAACTCTTTTCTTTTTGTTAAATACTGAAATGTAGCTGTGTATAAGAAACAAAGCTACAAAAATATCTCTCCCTCTCTCTCATATCAGAGGCTGCAATTGATTGTAAAATGTTAGAGAGATGCTATCTCGGTAATCTCTCGGCGCGGCGTCTCCATAGATCTGCAGAGGAGATTTATCTCGGTAAATATGGCCGTGATTTGGACTTGTCGAGGGGAATTCTCTAGTTGATTTAAAATATTATTTGTATATGTTACAAAATAAATGTTTCCATTTGTTATAAATTTAATGCAATCAGGTAACTACTAAATAGCATCGGTCTCGGCTGTGCACGGGTAAAAATTATTTCAACGCTTTTGATTTTAGTCAATGTTACACAAGATTAATGTATGTAGGTAGTTTTCGATTGGTGAACCTAACAATTTTCAAATTCGAGTTAGTAGTTCCAGAGATTACTTCCTACAAACAGTAAAACTCGTAAATTTCAAGCATTATATTTGCGTAATATGCGTATAGATGTAAGTATTTAAAAAAATCTAATTCTTACAGTGAAAATATTGTATAATGCGATTCAACTAACAATAGGACCGATTGGGCACCATATTGTGACGTCATAGCTGTCAATTCAAACAAAGTAGGTAGAGTGAGCAAAAAAAAGTTTTTATTTACTAAAACTGATTTACTAAGATTCGGTGAGAAAAACATCAGATTTTTTAATAAAATTATTTATTAAGTTAGAGAAAAAAAACAAACCGATTTTTAATAATATTTATTTATTAAGACTGTGTGAGAAAAAAACATTAAACAGAATCTAGCTCTTCAATTCCGCTCATCTCTGCATTACCGCTGGAGTCACATACGAACATGTATCCTTTATGTAAACGAAAGTTTTAAATCGAGTTTATGAACGCAACTTAAAGTGACATTTGGTTGACGATTTAGGTTATCAAACAGTCATAGCCAAAGCTCAAAAATAGAAAAAAATATATTAAACAATATTAATTATTAATATTTGTTATTGCTTGTTTACAAATGTTTGGTTTTTATTCGAGAATTAAATGAGTGCTAATAAAAGGTTCCAAGTTTATTTTGCAAACCGTACTTTTCAAGCGACATTTGACAGATGGAGGTCATTGGCTTTCCTATTCTTATTTGGATCGCATTATATGGTGTGTTAGAAAAAAAAATTAAACCGGTAAACAGTTAAGAAGTAAAGAGAACTAAAATAAAACATTAGAAAAATACTTAAATATGTTTGAATATTTCTTTCTTATTTCGCTCGAAAAGAAAAAACTATTTTTCAGGAATGTACTTTCATTTGATAGTTGGAAAAGAGATTTATTTATGTTACACTGACGCTTTGGCTTTGAAGTGGGGATAGCTAAGAGAAATTAAGTTAGATATTTGTCTCTAGTCTGAAGTTAAAAGTCTAAACTAAATAAACATTCTTTTCTTACAGTCTGCTACAATATAAGACCATCGCAGTGTAACAAAGATGAAACAAAACATATCGACATTGAAAACGATAAGATTGAAAAAGAACAAACTACTTCTACACCGACTAAGGTGGAATCAAGGTTTTTCGATCTCGGAGGAGTTATTAACCAACTATTCCCGGGTTTTAATCAAGGAGGCGGCGTCGGTGGGAATCCTGGGCTTAATTTGCCATCTAATTCGCAGTTTTATCCCGGTGTCCCAGCTCAGGTAAGTAAACCTCACTAGATTCTTTGACTTTTTACTTAAGCAGGGGTCAGGTGCCGTCCGTACTTAATTAACTTCAACTTTTTTCATTAGTTTAAGGTCAAAATAGCTTACTGTATTTTTACATTCTTTTTTTTACAGAATTGGCAACCTCAAGCACTCATTGATCAAGGGAACGGGTGGTTTCCTAATCAACAAATCAATAAACAACCAACATCACAAAATCTAAGATTACCATCAAATCGCAGCTTTAATCAGCAAGGGTCGATAAATAACATGAATCAAGCCGAACAATATCCCAATCAAGGTAGTTTCGGCCAGTACCCTGGCAACTTAAACGGTAATCCAATAAATGGTGGGGTAAATCAAAATGATCTAACAGGGAATTTTCAATATCCAGGCTTGCAACAAGGTCAACCTTATCAACAAATTCTCTCAAATAATAATAATCAGTATCAAGGTCAATTAACACGTCCCGATCAAGTTATGTCGAATTTAAATAATAATAGACCTGTTGTTGGAAGTGGTGTCAATTATCCTAGAGAACAGGTACCGTCTTTGGGTCAAGGGCAAAGTATGATTCAAAACCCTAATGGAGAGAATACGTTCAATAATCAATATTACAACCAACCAATATTTAACCGAAACTCTCAGAACCCTAATAATCAAGGCTTGAGTTTCAGTCCACAACAGCAAAATCAAAACAATTGGAATCAACAAAGCCAATATCCGAATGGACAATTTCTTGTAAATGGGGGCGTTAATTATCCTCTTAGTCAAGGTACACCTTCGGACCAACAAGAGTCAAAAGTCAGCAACAAAGGACAAAATAATAGAAATACGCCACAGCTTAATACAAATACTAATTTAGCGCAAAACTTCAATAATCAAGGTGTAAACATAAACAATGACAACGATAAACCGAATACCCAAATTCCTGAATTTAATAGAAATCCTCAAGGCACTCCATTTTCTGGTCAGCAAACAATTGTGCGTGGACAAGAAGTTGATTTGAGCAGCGCAATACGATTCCCAAATGACGATGACTATAACGCTAATGAAAATATAATGACAACAAGATTTATGACAACAATAAGTCCTACCACTACAATCAGTCCTCTCTATACGAGATCTCCTTCGACTAAAAATGCGATTGTGGGAAAACCAGTTTTTATTCCGACCACTACGATATCTTCAAGTCAAGTGACATTCACAGACAGGTATGTTTACTTTCTTGTAAGTAAAATACATAAGTTTGTCATACACTTTCGAATCGATACGTTAATGATCACGTTATGGTCTTTATTTAGGTAGGGACCTACATTAAAAAGGTAGATACAGATGCAAAGTGAAAGAATATATTGATAAATCGAATTTTCGCGAAAATCATAGAAATTTGCTAAAACGCGGAGAACACTATGGCGATGAAATCGCTCAATAAAAATATTTTTACGATTTTATTTCTGGCATCGTGCTCACAACACTAACTTAACCTAGTGCGAACTCAAAAATCCCAGAATATTTATAAAAAATTAACGATTCTTTTCGCAATCGTATTGCGGCGACTCGCGTTTTCTCAAAAATCCTATCTTTTTTCAGTAAGATTAAGAAATATCATCGCCATTGTCTAATTATCTGCGTTTTCCCGACATCCCCAGGATTTTCGCAAAAAACAATTTATCAAATCATCCTACAACATAATATATAAGCTACAATACACATTTTGTTCTAAATTTGAAAAGCATCTTAAATAACACTCATCTATAAAATATAAAAACAAATGCCCTGGGTCACGGCAGCCATGGTTTTGAGTTTCCATCCATCTTTTTTTTCATTGCCGTCACTCTGTCGTTTGTCTATATGTCACAGCTCTGTAGATAGTATGAGTTACAGAATTGAAATATTGGTATTTTATTTTAAAGGTTTGGCAAAATCCGTATTTTTTGTTAAAAATTCCATTAACTTATGTTTCTTAGGATCCCAATATGAAAACCAAACAATTTTTTTCTTTGTTACCCCAGATGTGTCACATCATATCATAGTCTAGAGCTGGCTGAATAGGATATAAATATATTTTAATTAGGTAATAGCTGACCCGGCGCACTTCGTACCGCTGACAATAATTTGGAAGAAATGAAAGCTATCGGTTCCACAGGAACACAGCTTTTACCATAGTTAGCAATTGTTTGGAAGAATCTACTGTAGATTGATCGTTCAGCAATGTATTGACTCACATTTACTGCCAGCTGAAAATTCATTGCATGGCGCTACAAATTGATTAATGGAGACAAGCCCTTATTTTTAATTTCAGTAGTCGATCTTGGAATAACTGTTCGGCGGAAATCTTTAGAGAGTAAAATCATTCCGCCCCCGAAACACCATAATCTATCTACATATTTTTTCTATCAGTATGGCCGTTATTACAGAAGAAACAACTGCTGCCCCAATGTCAGATTTTTCATGAACAGTGAAAGATATTAAAAATGTCTTCAGAGTTTTACTGATTCCATCTTAGAATAATAAGCCGCGAAGCAATAAATAGATTTGGCCCACCCACCGTAACGACGAACATTAATTTATGTCATTACATGTTGCTCATGTTTATAATGACGCAGACTACCAATGTGCATGTGTCGGTGGGAGAATGGTCAGTCGACCACCATTAGCTGCATCCCCTTCGGTGTAAATTTTATCACGTTTTCTTCGAACGCAGTTTGGCTTGGTTCAACTAAATGAAAGTTAGGTGTTCCGATTAGCTTTTGACGCAAGCGACGAAACGAAATCAAATTATAAAAATGGCGTTTTGAAAAATTTTCAAACGATAATTATGTGTGGTAATTTATCGACCTTTTTAGTAGTATTCTCACCTGAAATAAAGGCAGTTAAATTTGTATATTAGAAGGAAAATTCACGTCCATATTCCCCGAGGGAGTGCTGTGATCACTAAAACGTCGAATCTTACATAAGCATAAGTATTTAAAAGCGGTTAAGATTGGTTTCCAGGTCTTTGCTCAATATTCCCCAAACACAGTCAATCCCTTAGTCAACCCTTACGACTTACTGGGGAATTAAGAGTAGTTTTATTTTTCGGAAACCAAAACCAAATGCAGTAATTGATACATATGATATTCCCCCTGTATCCTTGCTAAAACATAAGCATAATTTCTGTCGCTTTATATTGATGTATGCTCTTTTTCTGCAACTTTTGTTACATTTCTTTATAAATCTAGCATATCACTGATTTGGACTGAATGTCAAACAAATAATTCAATTTCTTCTTTACTGGGTCCTTAACGATTAAGCCAATGACTAGTGTCAAAACAAATAAGTTCAGCACTCGTGCGTGTCGTGACGTGGTTGTTAATTGTGTAAGATGGCGGAATAACAAACTTTATTTTAAAAATATTTGTTGCATAAATTTTTTCCGTGACTTTTTGAAAAGTTTCTTTTGTACAAACCTTTTCCTGACAATAACGAAAACAATAAAAAAATATTCAATTCGGTTCAGTAGTTCGGGAGTGATGCGCATACATCCTTTTCGTCGATTCATTTTTACTTACATAAATTTATTATTTTTAATAACAAAGAAATGGGGTCCCGTCAAAGTTAACAGATACCATAATACCTACCGCAGAGAGAAGTTTTATCCTCCATCATCTGGACGCTTGCCATTCTAGCACCTTGCGTTTCGCGCGCATTCCTTTCTCTGGCGTACCAGTAAGATTTTGAAAGAACTTCCGTTAAATTCATAGCTCTAGAAGAAAAATGCTGAGGAAAGTAACTTCCCTACTTATATACTTAGCTGAGATGCGGTCTTCAAAAGGCAGGTCAACCTGACTCAGCCGGCAACGCGTGAGTGGTGCTAGCTCTTTGCTTGCATCAACATAATAAAAGTGTTTTATGATAATATATTTAGTTAAAACACTAGTTTTATATATTTTTTTATCGTAATAAGTTTTAAAATAACCTATTAACCTGTCCAGGTTCTGGGCTCCAGAATCCGGAGTTTTTACGCGTTTTATCCTGGTTACCAAATTTGAGATGGCAACCCTCAACTTATCTAATTGCGAGTTATCTGTAAATAAAAAAAAGCTTATGTTTTTCTCGACAGCGATATTACAACAGCTTCACAGAAAGAATGCGTACAAAACTGTCCAACTTCGTCAGAATACAACCCCGTGTGTGGTACCGATGGCGTTGCCTATTTCAATCCTGGAAGGTTGGTGTGCGCACAAAACTGTGGCATAAGTGAGTAAAACTTGTAAAATAAAGTGTTACAAAATTATTACAAAAATAATTAATCATCATGGCTAACCCCTTATCAAGGTTTTGCATTTAGTACTTCATTTAAGTTATTTTTTATATATTTCATTATTTTTACAGGTGTCTTCGAAGCTCGCCAAGGCAATTGCTAACATCATCAAAATAAGAAGAATGACTTATTATTAAAAGTCAATTAATATTAAGAAAAATAAATGGCTAATTATCAAATCCCTAATGTTTTGGTTCATCCCTGGTGGTTTATCAAAAGATGAGTTATCTCTTTTTTTCAATGCGTGTGATATAAAAGGACCTTATCTAAAGGTACTATGCTGTAATTCCAAACTGGGTTGTTTAAATCATTTTAAACTAGATAAATAATAGATAACTAGATAATAATAACATTTTGAAGCTGTAGACAAGTAAACAACTAGCTCCCACAACAATATTTTTTTAAATATAAATTTTCCTCGTAAAATTATTTGACTATTATAAATCAGTTTAAAATCTGTTGAATAATTAGTGAAAGTGTTACTGGTAATAAAAAAGTCTTTAAGTACCATTAATAAAGAAATCAAGTAAAGCAAGTAATATTAACATTGTATAAAAAGGTCTAGTGAAAACTTAGGGCATATTCCAAGTGAAACGAATATTATTTATTCAGCAATTATTGGGCTAATGAGGATGGTGAAGATATTATATTGTGAAGACTATAATTATTAAGAATAAATTGATGTTTTACGGTACATAATTGCTTCCAAGAAAGAAGGTAGATAACAAATAGATATTTCTTACAAAATGCACCATAAAATATAAATAAATAACACTGGGTTGTTCATTGTCTCCAAATGCACACAAACCATAAATACAACTGCCAAATTTTAATGAAAGCACCTTGATTTTTAAAAACACAAGACTGTTAAATGCTTGTGTTGCCATCTAGCGGATAATAGACAAAACATCATAAGTACAAAGCAGTACTAACGAATACTTTGATACCTAAACATGAACTATCTATTTACATTTCATATTAAACACAACATGTCACTATCTTGTAAGAAGTGTGGAGTATTCATTGAATGGATATGTATTTGCAGCGAGTTACTGTAGAAAAGTTAGAACTAAAGGAGGAGTTGGAATAATAATAAACGAAGATATTTACTACACGGAGCGTAAGGACATATCTGACTTTTTTGTGAAATTTATTATAGATATATGTGGTATTGAAATTAAATATTTAACTCGGAAACGGACACATTCATGGAAACATTTAAAAAAATTAGGAATAATTAATAATCCATTATTAATAATTATATTTATGGAATGTCCGTTGCACGCTAATACAATTTACTTTTGCTATGCCCAAATGGGTAACATAATTCAGTCGATTATATTATATACCTGCCATCTTTTGTACAATTATGATAATATGCAATAAATATTTGACTTTGAATACAAACACCGACAGCTAATCATAACAAATACAGAAGGAACGTCATCACCATTTCTGCAACTTTTACAAAAAATACTATTATGCTTAATAATTATTGTAGTATGCAAGTTTTGCAAGACCGTAACAGAAAATTTATGACAGCTGATTTTGCGCTTTATGCTGACCAAAAGATAAATCTGGAACTATGCAAATGCTGACTTTTACAATTCATAACTTATGACTTCATATTTCGGAATTATTTATATTACTTACTACCACAAAGTAAATACACAGAAAAACGGGCCAACAGAAACATAGACGCACAACTTCTCGGATTTGGACCTTAAAATCAACAAAGTTTGCGTATTCTCTGTATATTTAGTGATTCTACTAACATTAAACAAGTGAAGGTTTGTAAGTTTGGGGTTTAAAGTAAACTTTCTGAATCACGCTGAAATTGCTGAACAGATCTACGCCTTAAAATGTTACTTTATGTTCGAATCAAGTGTAAGTAAGCCCCATTCTTGGCTAACAATACTGTTTTTTAGATATGGTACTGACATGGCTTAGTAGGCTTTCATCATAATCATCACCAGCCTATTTTATCCCCACTGTTGGGGCACAGATCTACCCTATGGATGAAATAAAGAGAGTAGAAGCAGGCGTAGGGTAGGAGTAGAAAGTAGGCTTTACAGGTTAAATATTTGACCTACTTAAAACACGTCTTTGGATGAATAATTAAAAGATAAATGTATTAATAATCCCATTGCAAATTACCTAGATTTGAAATTTTTTATTGTAGAAAATAAAAGTTTATGAATACTGCCAAATTATAGACAAAATAAAGTTTAATTCACACAGAAAGCCCGAGTCTATATAATCTTATGGGCGACTACGGAACTATGTTTTTTTGTTACCTGCTGTAAACAACAGTGTGATTCAAAATGTACACAATATTTCATCGAGGGATTCGTGTTTAATGGTGCTATAAACCTTTGTTTCTGCCTTTGGACATACAAAGTAAGATAGAAAAGTTGGGATTCCTAGTGCGTTTTATCAATTTCTATCGTTCTCGACACATGCTGATGTGATGCTAACAATTATTTGAATTTTTTAAAGAATTTAAGTTAAATAATTTGATAGATAAAATCTTAGATCGTTCCAACATTTTCACACCAAAAACTGTTTTAGTCGCCAAACTGTTTTATTCAAACCATGACGTTTCTCCAACAGGAAAAATAACCTTGTGGTAAGAGTGTGTAACTTGTTTTTGGATTTCTATTGGGTTCCTGGCCTTAGTTTTTGGCCATTATTTTTGAACTCCTCTATGGTGAGAATGTTAATCCTTAAATCTATAAATCATTATTGTAAAATATTATTATTTCGTATATAGGATAATGGGGCCCCTTAGATTTTGATGTGGATGTGGACTTGAATTGGAGCGAGTCACACTGATGAGTGTACTACTGATAATTTTTATTACATAAATCGGGACAAATAGGTATGCCGCCGTCGGGGCGCGGGACAATACCGTGAAATAGGTACTACTTATTTCTATAAAATCAGAACGGTTGGCAGCTGAGAGCGATCATATTACAAAAGGATTTAACATACAGTAATTTACACACGGCCAAATTAATAGACACAAAGAGGGAGCTCATTAGTACGGAGGGAGAGGCATTACAATTCTGAATTGCAATCACATGTAATAAATAAAAAATATTGAGAGCTCGCGTCGTTCGAGTGTTTTTACGCTGCGCTGTGACGATCACGTATCAATTATAAGTAATTGGTCAACCGAAGAAACTATGGCCTTTAATTTAAATTAAACTACGTATGTCAGCCCAACAAACGAAATATTCGCCGGTATAACTTCGGAGTCCATGTTGCCATGTTTACCTGTTGAGAAGACACTAACGCACTTGCAAGCTTGTGAACAAAGCGTTTGTAAAAGTTTGGAGCTTGCAGGTGTGTCGTAGCATTAGGATCTGGCCACAGCACGGCACGGTGTCTTAAACCTGAAACGGCACGTTGCCGCGTCGTGTACACATATGGTTGAGAGGATGCATGATACGTTGCTGGGTCATACCACTACAATATGTTTAGCCGCTACGTCGTCAAAAAATTCGCGAAAGACAGTACCGCCCAGTAGGTATTATCTTTTTATTTCCTTTTTTTCTCATGCTTCTTTGTAACAGTAACAAGAGCAGAATACGTATTTTGAGATAAATGTCGGGTAAAATACTAATCGAGAAATTTTTAAAACCACATGACCGGTACTACCGTAGGATTGACATCGCGCACACAATGATTATGTTACGCGTTGTTTACAAGATATATTCTTTAGCAGAAGAAACTCAAGATTGAACGTAAAATATAAAAAAAAAACACTAAATGTCGAACATCACTGCAGATAAACAGCGATAGGTAGCTGATCAACACAAAAAAGTGGAATAAGTAAATAGGTTAGTAAAAAGTTTGCGTGAATTGTCATTAAGGTCGTTTTATTTATTTGAAATTAAAAATTATCGTTGTGATAAACATGTGCTTTTAGGTATGATCCGCAGTGGCCAAGATTCAGCGACTTTCTCAAAAATATCTCGAAGTGTTCTGTAAAGCACCGCAAATCGCGGGGCAATCCCTATTTTTGTAAAAAGGACGCTAGAAAGGCGAAACTGAAATTGCGAGATTTAGAGGAATCGAGCAGGAATCGAGGCATAGTACTGATTTTGCAGTGTGTGCACACGATACGTTTTATAAGAGTTACTAAAAAGCTTCTTCTTATGATAGTGGGTTACGCCACTTTGAGGCTCCATAATTTGTCGTTTTTAGGGTTCCGTACCTCAAAAGGAAAAAACGGAACCCTTATAGGATCACTTTGTTGTCCGTCTGTCCGTCCGTCCGTCTGTCAAGACCGTTTTTCTCAGGAACGCGTGGAGGTATCAAACTGAAATTCATACCTTATACTCAGGTCTACTGTCCCTTGGAGCTATGAAAAAATCAAACTTCTAAGCCAAAGCAATCAAAAGATACAGCCATTTATGCCGCAAATTTTCGAAACTCGCACGGGAATCAAAACCTACAGGGTACTTCCCGTGAACTTAGAATCTTGAAATTTGGTACGAAGTAACGTCTTATAGTACAGATAAAGCAAAAATTGCGAAAACCGTAAATTTTTAGTTACATCATAAAATAAAAAATATTTTTGAATATTTTTGTACGGAACCCTCGGTACGCGAGTCCGACTCGCACTTGGCCGGTTTTTTATTTTTATAATCATGTTTGTTTCTTAGGTTTCCACGCACATCACTCATTAAAGAAAAAACAAGTTTCAATGGGTTAGATGCATTGATTTTATTTATTTACTGTCGTTTCGCAGGCTTTGCAGGGTTCTGACGACGCATTCCTGCAAGGGCTACGAAACGTCAATAAATAAACAAAATCAGTGCAACGAAACCGTTGAAACTTGTTTTATTTTTAAAATCATGTACGTCATATTAATCAGGTGCACTGAAACCATTTTGAAGTTCTGTTTGCTTCTTGGGATTTTTGTACCTGCGCGAAGTTTACGCGTTAGTGCTTGATCGCGACGCCCCACAATTTCACCTTAGTAAATCACATTAATTCGCCATTGATCGTCATGTATCATTATACAGTGGTGGTCACATAATTAAAGACACTCCCTAATTGACCACAAATAACTTACTTATGGTACTAAAATTGGTATTTAATCTAATGTATTTGTTATTAAACTATACAACATAAACTATATAAAACATATAACTGCATTCTGTTTTTCTTTGTTTTGCCGCGTATTTTCATGAAACGTCGATATTATATATAAAACATATTTTTCTAATTGAAATTAATACGTTTTAAACCCAGCAATATGGGAAAAACCAAGAGTTGCGATTCGT